CATTTGACATCCCAGCAATCATGTTATTCTGTATCATATATTGTTAACCAGCACCACTGTAAACATATGTCTTAAGCATTTCGTATAACGACTAGCAAACTGATGCAACATAACATGCTAGGAATTCTGCACTGTAAACAAAACTATTGTTCAGTATAGAGCAAATATATTATCCATTTTATTGTTAGTAGTAGATTTACGAATAATTTTTGAGCCCTCTGCTACATTATAAAACTGGTGTCACACGGAGAAAAAAGTTAATTTTGATGTTTTTCGGTTACTACTTAAACAGGATTGAAGACCAAAGTGCTTTTCAACTTTGTTCAGAATTCTATAAGAAAGATTTAAAAAAGTAACTGTGTGTATAGAATACAAGATTTTATTCGTAGACGTATTTGTTAATTCTTGCAGTGTATCTTGTCGACATAGAGTCTGAGTTTAATTATTGTCAAGCGATAAAAATAACATGTTTTCTCATTATGGACAACATCGTTCACTGGGGTGCAGGTACATCAACCTGATGAGTCCCGAGTAAGATGAAGTGTGCATCTTGGATTCCTCAGCTAGGTGTCAAATATGCTTGGGGTAAGACGTTCTCTGTTTCTTAGAGGCATAAATAATACAACTAATAAATAAATAAACTGGAAATTATTTTATAAGGACATAAGGCCTACCTAATGTTAAACCTATTTTGGTATATATATTAAGGAGAACAATTGAGAAAGTGCATGAGATCGGCTCAAGAAGGTAGGTGTTTGAAAAAAGAAATCTTATCTTTCTGTGGTCTGTGGCATAATTAGCATACAATAAGGTAGGAAGAACAAATCATGTGCGGATCAAATTGCAACGCAATGCTACGCTACGCATCATCATAAAACAGAGCATAGAATGGCAGTCAACTCTGTACCTGTACCTCAACTTCATCGATTTAGAACAGGCCTTCGAAAGCGTCGACCGAGAAGTGATTTGGCAGGCGGTTGCTTCAACACTACGGTTTTAGTGCCACAAAGCTTTATCAACCTCATTCAACAGCTATATGACGATGCCACATGCCACGTGATTCATAGTGGTAAGCTCAGTGATGCCTTTGAATTGAAGACAAGAGTAAGACAAGACTGCATACCTCCACCCATGATCTTCCCGATTATGGTCAGCTGAACTGGACCATGCAGCAACCTGTGAGGAGGGAGAAGATGGGCATACTCTAGGTGCACCGATGAAAAGCGACTAGAAGATTTGGATTTCGTGGATGGTTCATTTCTAATGTCACACAAACTCGAAGATGTGCAGGCGAAACCAGTGAGTTTGCAGAAGAGGTGAGGCAGCGAAGGTTGGACTTCAAGTGAATGTAGAGGCGACGGAGGTGATGAAGATATCAAACTTACAACAGCATCAACTACAAGCAACAATCGCCACCATCAGGAGAAACCTAAAAGAAGTAGTTTCTGTCACCTACTTCCTAGGCTGCATCGTTTCAACTACAGGTGGCACAAACGAGGATGACAAACCCAGGATCGGAAAGACAGCAAGACAGGCGTTGATTAACCTGGAACCAGTGTGGAGATCTTCTGCACTCAGCATAAAGAACAAGATCTAGATTTTCAACACTAATGCCAATCAAGTCAGTTCAGAAACTAGACCTGTCATGCAAAGCACACCCAACAAACCACTGACATTCATCGATAGATTCCGCCTACGATCACTTGATACTGAAGATCAGATGGCCAGAATAATAAGGATAAGCAACAAGGAACTCTGTCTGGCATCGAGCCAACCAAGAACCTATTACCCAACAAATATGCAGTAGGAGAAAGTGGAGATGGGTTGGATCGGGCGTACACTGAGAAGACCGACTGGGGACATCACGCGCCAGGCCAGGCCAGGCCATCGAGTAAAATACAAATGGGAAACGACGAGTTGGGCGTCTTTGGCGAGGGTGACATGGAGGAGATCATGTAAGGAAGAAATGAAAGCTTGTGGGCAGTCGTGGTGCCAGGTCGAAAATACTGCAGAGAGTAGAGTGAAGTGAAGGCGTGCTACTGAAGCCCTATGTTCTACCAGGAACCCAGGGGAAAAATAATGATAAGGTAGGTTGAATACAATTGTCTATAGTATATTTCCTGTAAGGAGAAAACTCTATTTTCATTTTAAAAGAAGCTAGTTGTGATTAGGTTTTTGGCAGAGCATCTTTACATATTTTTCAAAGAAGAGTAGTGAATATCCTTAGCATTTTGCAGGCTAGAAGACAAGTGTAAATTTACCTCATTGTGTGCATAACAGACGCTTCAATATCGCGTAGGTCATCACACTGAAAATGTTTATTCATATTGATGGTTGATATACCTGTGAAATGTATACAACTATTTAGAAAAGTCAACTTAAAACGGCCTTTTAGCTGAACGAGGTTGCCGACAAAGTCCAATATTTTCTAAAGATGTCTATTAACAGAATAAATTTGAAGATGTATCAGACTAAATGCGGACAGAAGTTGTAAAAAGTGTTACTGGTTTTGCCATGAAGCAAAACAAACACTTAAACCCCATTCAAACACGAAATAGTGAAAGTGCTCACAAGACAATCAACTGGATATATAATACTCAATTTGTGACAGGATATAACTCTACTTCAGATCTAAAAAATCAAAAGTTAAAGCTCTAAAACTCATTTAGAAAGACTAGTGAATAATGACAAGCAGTCGAAAAGATTGCATTACAGTAAGCTTTTAAAACACTTACTGACTACTAGCCAGTAAACCGTTGTGATGAGTCTACCAAGCCTAAATGCCTTAACTTTAACCCAGCATTGTGTTTCGCTATCACGAAAGCAACTAAATGCAGCTAGTAAGACGCATCTGGGGACTTAAAACATCTCTAACTGCATCAGAAACTATCGCAGAAGTTTGCTTTCTTTATTCCCAAACTTTAGGAGTTTAAATCCCCTAGTCAACTTCCTCTTCTTCGTTATCAGAAATGGTGAGAATGTATTACAGTAAGTCATACGGTGTCGCTACTTTTCCACTGGTTTGAAACTTGTTTGCAGTAACGTTCACGGTCCCAGACATATTGATCAGTTCATTATAATTATTTTCAGTGGTGTGTCCTGAATGAAAAGTAATCAGTATGAGCCATATAAGCACAAGTAATTGTATAGTGAGCCATTCGCTACACAGTGTGAGGATTTATGACTCTTCTTGACTGAGTTCGGCGGAGTAGGTAGAGCGGTGTTTGACTGCATAATATACTGCTATAAGGTCAACTGTTTAAGCCACTAAGCCAATCACTACTGTATCTTGACTGGTGATATAAGTATGTGAACACTTGTTCAATGACCTTCTCACCTCATACCACTCTTCACCCTGTTCCTAGAACACATATAAAGCGAAAAACCATAGGAGGTGTATTACAGGATTAACTGTAGTTAATTTAAATTGCTTTTTTTTCAGTCCATTTTTAGAAAGCCTCCATTACTGATCATTGTCACATGTTTGGCGTGTGACTAATGAGGAACATTCCGAGTGTTCTCTTTTGATGTGAATATGTTGCATGGATTTCTAGGCTTCCTAAATATGCATAGATTCAATATTGCATGTCTTATCAAGTAGGAAATTCATTGACTTTCACAGAAGTTGACCAACTTATTGTTGTGTAGAAAAAATCACGATGATTACGATGGAAAATGTAGAACTTGAAACTATGATCTCATCTCTATTCAGCCAAGTGTTTTTATATATTCAGGTGAACTAGAAACTCGTTTATTAAGCTCTGATGGTCATGTTACCTGTAGATAATTGGATTAATGGAAATACGGTTAAGAGTATGTGTCAAGCACTTGTTAGGAGAAGCTCTACCTCATACCAGTGAAATGAAGTGAAATCCTCAATTGCGAATTGAAGTGTGGCTACTATCACATAGTGTTTCATGTTATACTTATTTCTCTGGGTTTCACCAGCTACATACAATGTCCAATAAATATCTAAAGGAACAAATTAGAAGTGAATTTTAGCCCAGTTTAGTTCGTTTAACGGAAATCGGTCAATGAATGAATGAAAACAAATTATTGGCATAGTGAAGTGAGAAAAACTGTGCGAAGTGAAACGAAATCACAGTATTATGTAATGTTTACACAGTTACAAACATTACTCGAATAAATTTTACCTTTAAAACCCAATGGAGTAGTAAAATGAATATTGTAGGGCTTGGATTGAACTTGCATAAGCGGATGAATAGATATTATAAACTTCAGGATCAAAATTTGACTTGATATAGCCGAATAAGTTGAGCATTGGGTAAATAAAATATAAGTGAAATATATTTGCGAAATCCTAGTGAAATAGGGAAATTAATTTTTGACGTTTCGCAGCTTCGTGTAAATTGCTTCTTCAGAGAAGAAAGCCTGTGCAAGTTATCGACTGTCTAAGTAGTATTCCAACAGTTATGCAATCAAGTTAGTTATGAATGAAGAAATTGGGTTACTAGGACAGTTGAAGCTCAACTATGAATTCTTTTTGCAGACTTCTGATTTCGTTTGCTTCATTAAAAGAAATTATTTTGTTTGTTGGTTGCCTTGAGTGATTATAGAGCATTTGTTTGATGTCTGACGTCTGTCAAGTGCTTGGTCACTGAAATATTAAGACTACTTTACCCCTTCAACTATAGAATCTTCAGCATGCTCAAAATATCTGGGTTAAGCCTACCTCAATGTTCTCCTCAGTATCTACTCAGATATGTACAGGTACGTTGGTATATGTAACACAAGCGAGACATATTGATTATTGATTGCAACCAAGAGCAAGCTACGGAATATGTCCCGGCCAAGCGATTGCTTCATCTTTTGTCGGTCACTATCGTAGTTGAATGAAAATGGGCTTCTTATTAGCCTTTTATACATCTGAAACCTGGACCAAAGTATTCATATTGACAGTTATCATTTATCTGGAATCCATGAGCTTATAGTTTTTTAATTCAGCAGACTCCTTTTCTTTTGTTTTCTTCGTTATTCAGGTAATTCAATCCAATCTTACTTCATCAACAAGGAGACAAGATTCGAATAATCATGCTGCTAATGTTACCTCTAAATCATCGTACAAATCTAACAGTTATTCAGATCAACTACCTTTATCTATTGACTTAGAAAATACCTCTGAAGTGGCGTCTGATACTTTAATGGATCAATTCATTCATCTGCTTGATCGAGTCCTGCAATGTGCTCAATCCGATTTGACTGGTTCTGAACATAGAGAATCACAACAGAAAGACGCTACTTTAAAAACTCGTTCATTCAACTTAGCACCAGCTTATTCTATGTACTTGACGTATAGGGCGTGTGTCAGAAAATTGAATGCATCTAAGCAATTTCAACCAGCTGAGCGAGATCACTATATTTCACATTTAACAAATTACATGGCTACCCGGATTTATGAGGTTAGTCAACATTACGTCAACTTTGTATTTAGTAGTCAATCTACTAAATACAAATTCCAGTAGTTCGAAATATATTTCATTAAATTTTTCATGCAATTAGTAGGGGCACTATTGCCAGTAAACGGTCTATGTTCAGCATTAGTTTTTTATCACAACACCAGAAAATTATAAGACGTAATCACATAATTATGTTGTCGTGAGGATTTCAAATTCTCTAGACATTTTCTCGATTTTTATTATTATTACCAGCAAACGAAGAGTCAAAATTGTGGTTTTGTTTTATAAAGCCTTTGGTTTTAAAACAATTCTTTTCACACTTCGGTAGACCAATGAAGAGAGGTATTGACGAAAGGACCACAGTACTTGAAGGCTTTTATTTCAGTGGAGAATGTTTGCACTGCACCAAAGACTGAAGGGGGTTGTGGAATTTCAACTTTTGGCTTTTTGTTTTTACTTTCAGTGAACATTGAACCACACTTCCCATGAGAACTGTCAAATGATGACAGATAGTTTTTATCCATAGTACTGGGGTCAAGTGTTTATTTTGCAGTAGATTAACTGGGTGATCATCTTGGAAAAGTGCTTGAAGCTAATTGAAGCAAATGACTTGCTTTATGACTGTGAACAACCAATCATAATCGGTGAGCATTCACCAACCAAGGGGTTGAAAAGTTATCTTTTATACAAAAAGTTGCATTCATAAATAATAATAAGCACAACTAAACAAAGTATCTGAACAAAATAATGGTACATGAAATGTTCCCAATTTTTGTTAGGTATGCCGGTGGAAAAGTAAACTATTTTCGCAACATTTACTCATCAATGTCATCCGTTTATCTTCAGTGGGATACTTATTTTTTCCAGTAGTTAAATTTACGAACTATGAATACTGTTTGTCGAATTATGGATGAAGCTCAGCAATTCTATTCTATTAATGCGATTGGTGAACACCTTTTTGGTTCTGATTGATTGTTTAAGGCCACTAGTCTTTTTTTATGGTTTTTATTCTTCCTTTTCGCTATTTCGCTCAATCCTACGAAGAAAAACTCTCAATAATTCGTATTACTTAAATTTGGCACTTATCGATGGATCGCCAACCTTTATAACTTACTTATTTACCATCATACAGTTCGTAGTTATGAAAATTGCCTTTCAAGCTGTACCCTCATGTACACGCAACATCTATGACTACCAATGGAAGCAAGCAAATGTGTTCCTGAAAAGAAAGACTACTCAAAAGTCATTAGCCATCACCAACGAGATCATAATCATATAGAGTGTTGGCTGGTTGTGATATGAAAATCCAGGTCAGAGCAACGTAGTAAACAGCTGTGTCTCATAGTTTAGTTGGCTAGACGACGTGCCTTTATTTGAAGGCTAATGGTGTGAATTCTGCCATGGCCCAGTTTCCCACTTATTATCACCTTGTATAAGTAACACCATTCCGCCAAACCACGACCATGCCAAATACTTTCACTACATCCTAGTGACTTGAAAATCCACATTGGCCGTTGAACTCATCACCTATGTGACTTGACAGATTCAGTTCACAAGGCGTAGATGGTTTTCAGCCGATTGTCAATCTCAGTGGGATGATTTCATGAGTTCACAATGATATTTCAGCAGTGAAGGTGGCAAATTTTGACTTAAAAATGGAGCAAAAATAGTTATTCATTTCTGAGCACGTAGAGTTAACAAATGTACGAGAAACCCAGTGTCCTTGAACTAATTTGTAAGTCATTTATATGTCAAGGACGTAAGGAAGTTCTACAGAGGGCCATTCCTAGGGTGTCTTGCTTAGCGGCGAAGCTCATGACGTAAGTGAAACAAAAGCTGCCCGATGTTTGTAGTTATACATGGCCGACAAACCACAAATAACACTTCATAGATCTTGCAAATAACCTATTAGTTGAATAGATCTATCACAGCCACCGCTCTGAGTGATTTTATTCTGAGTATTCATCAAGTGCTAAGAAGTATCAGTCTTCAGTCAAACGTTTTACTGAATTACTACAAGCCGTTCTAAAATTTGTTTCTTTTCTCGTTACCTCGTATTGGTCTAAATGCATTTGTCTCCTTTCATTTTATCTTTCATCGGATATTTTTGGCAATTTTGTTTTGTTTTTATGCAATGTATTCATCTTGTACTCAGTCTGTACCAAATTTTAATCGAAATTCAAACACTGACCCATCATTAATACGACCTTTAACGTATTGGCTTGGCAATAGTAGTGAATTGTTACATTTCTTCAAAAATGATATTGATCTCTGTTCAAATCGACGACAGAAATCTGATCAAAAGGATGCCATAAGTCAATCTGATGCATCACTTCAACCATCAATTATATGTCGAGATGCCCTACATATACTGGCAGAAACTGTGGACCATTGCTTCTATTATCTACGTTCAGTGATGAATAGTATACTTCAACCATGGCTGACATGTTTAACTTATCCTGGAGATTTGGATTTACAGGTGAGTCAGTTGTATACTCATGTCTTTTCTATCGTTATTCACCTATTAGTCAAAGTGTCGCTCCCATATGTGATGGAGTTGCTCGATAAATAAGCACAGTACAGACTACTGGGACAACATGGATGATAGTTGAATTCCGCTGTACTTCTGTTCAACTCTGGCTATTCTTAAAAAAACTGAATAATTGGACAGAAGGAAACCGAATCAGGACACCGAACTTGCGGACAAATATATCAATAATGATTTTGAAAAAGGGAGAAGGTTATTGAACACAGAAGATGGGTAAGCCAACAGAAAAGCATCAGTGTTAAGGTCGGGAACAGGAAGAAAAATGATTTGTTCTGCCCTACTTTACTTATAGATGTGTAAACTTAAGTCAGTTTCAGTGTATCCAGTTATTGATTGCGCAATCATAAGTCCAAATATGCACTAATATAATTGAGAGAATGGAAGGGATGTTTCCGTATCCGGTAGCATAGCAGTTGACTAAAATACAAAGTGATCACCTCAAACAAAGCTTCTGATCTTTTCACGTTTCTCATGCAACATTCTGATCGAAGTCACCAATCAAAATCAGCGATAAAATAACATACTACTTTACTCAGCTAATCGTATATGAGGTCATGAAGTTTTTTTGAAAACAAACTTAAACATTTGTCCACAGAAGTGTATCAGAAATGAGGTAATCAGTTTTAAATAGAATAAAAACTACTTGCCATGCTTGTAGACTTTAACCGTATGAAAGACGTATTGAGTTAACCTGACAAATGTAGCAGCGATTTCGAATGAAAGAATTGGGTTGGACGGCTTGAATTGATTTGTAACACCTGTAATCCCACTGTGTGGGATTCGAATCTGTGGACGAGTGGTAACACCCTTTATTCACATAAATATCATCTAGCTTTTAAACAGAAATTATTACAAGAACTGAATTCATGGCTTTCATGTCACTTACCCTAACTGTCGAACATAAAATTCAGTGAGTGTCAGTGTCAAGTTATTCAGTTTGGTGACCACATTTGAAACTTCATTGATGGTTTCAGGTCAGTATTCTCGATTAAGCAGCGTCAAATTGGCTCCTACTCTTACGAAGGCAGACTAGCTCCCACCTTTTTTAGATGAGTCTCAGTGTTTACCATATGCTGTTTTTTACTGTGGCTACTAACGACTGCATGTAAAATATGTCCTTTCATTTTCGACATCATGTATACTGTATCTCGGCACACACAGGATAAAAACTTGAATAATGAATTATAAAAAAGTACCATACATTCCCTGGAAATAATGTTTGCCTTGTCTATTTATTGATTGATCTTTTTCTATTGGATTGTCTTGGTCACAAGATGACTAATGACGCAGCATTCAATTTTGAGTTACTCAACACTGGTCAGAATCTGTCTCTCTATTAGGTTGGAATGTAGCCGAAGTAATGCGACACTGTGGAGCACTGTATTCTGTTGCTAGATGGTGAAAGTTAGTCTGCAATAAGCTAAGGATAAAGGTTTCGTTCTTGTTGACACTCATCAGAAGGCGTATAGTGGGAACCTCCAAAAAACTGTGAGTATTAATCGAGCAGAAAGTGTATGTGGATAGGGGAAATGTGTTCGAAACATAGCTTGTGGGTGCGAAGATGGACGCAAAGATAGATAGGCATAGCATATTCAGCAAAAAATTCACGTGATTCCATAACTCTTGTCCTTCTCCCTGTGATGGCATTCATAAGAAGAAAACAGGGTGTATAACCCCCACACTAGTGAAACAAATATCAGTGGTAATGAGATGCTGTTGCCATCTAAATTATATGAACGATGGATTAATCTGTCTAGTGATGGATGATTTAATTTTTCAACCACCTTAATGTTAATGTATAGTATTCAGATTCCAATGCTTGAAAGAAGTTATGAATAAGCTGTAGATTTCAGTATTGCGGCTTGGCACCGCTTACCAATAGAGAAGAGACTAGATTAGTATCTCATAGAGAGAGAGTGAGAGAGAGAGAGACAGTCATTTTACTCAAAGTCAAAATGCATTTCATTGGAAACCTATGCGCACGAAATACTACTGGTTCCCTCCCTCTGAAGCTGAATTTTAGTGGCTTATGCGGTGAGTTTTCAACCATCCCTATCACCTCTAATCATTTCTTTACAGTTAATCAAGAAGTATTCATGTGTTTAGGAAACAGTAATTCTAGACAAGCTACCAGTTAGAATAGGTTGCATTGGTTAGCTCTAAATAAGTTCTTGATTACACAAGCCTATTTTATTAATTATGTATGCACGTCTGAATAGATTCCTATTTGTTTACTACACTGGAGACTAATTCAGTGTTTATTTCAGTCTCTTATCTTTTGCTAGTCAGTTATGATAATTATTGTGTTTATATCCAGCGTATAATCAGTAATTCACATTGATTCGGAATATGCAAATTAATTTCATTAAGTTATGCACATCATTTGTTCGAAGATTTTGCTTACTCGTTAATATACTAGACTTTCGACTAGACGTCCTGTTGCTCGGTCCCACTGATGTGACCAGATATCTTTATTGTCAGCCCACTCACATGATAAATCTGATTTGAAGTCCAGCAAGCAAGCTCATGGTTGATTGGTAAAGGATATAATTTATGCTCGAAACTGACTTTCATGAGTGAAGGCAATTGGTGGTTTAGTGCTTACGCCAGCAGTACAAGTGATCGCACACAATTTGACTGGTCGATTAAACTAATCATGTACCCAATCAAATAAGGCTTGAACTGCAGACAAAAAGATAGCCATGTGATGAAGTGTTACGATGATGACCTAGCACTTTAAGGAAAGGAGCCATAATTTTGGAAAGTGTGGTACTTCGCTGACTGCAATAAGGATGTTTGTTAACTGGGTATTCGAAACTCTATGTAAAAAGAAAACTGTTGAAAGTCTATAATTAAAAGACTAGAGTCACTTCAGCCGTTTAGGAATATGTTAACAAAAATTAACTCTTTTTTTACGTTATTTGTCTAGTGGTGGCAAACAATGGAATCCAAGATAGGTGTTTCGCGCTATTCTTGACGTGTCGGCTACTAGTATCAGCATCCCAGTAAGTGATGGTGCCCCCGCTGAGACTTCAGTGAGTTGCGCATGGGATGAAATATATATCCTACACTCCGCTACTCAATACCACCAAAAAAATAACATCAAGATGAACCTTGGAGGGAGTTCTTAGCATGCATTAAAGTAGCGGATGTGCCAACACAGATCGGTCGATTCAGTTCAGTGCAATAATCTTCCTTTGTTATGGGGCTTGTCCGTTGACATAAACATGCCAGATTGACAGGATGGCAAGTGCAGTCGCACTCAGCATTGTCAAACGTCGTTGTACATGTTTACTTAAACCTTGAGAAGCTGTTTGTTAACCTGAGTGACCTTAACTGTGAATATCACCGTGCCAGTGAAGTTTAATTGATAAAAGAATGTATCTAACTGACATTATCATTCTTCCTCAGCTTCATACCGATCATAACTTGGCTAATTTTTATTTTATTTCATACACGGGTTCCCCTGTATGCATTTGAAAAGATCAAGAACGAAAATGGGAGCACAATAGAGGAGACCCATTTCAAATGTGTGGTATCTTGTCATCTGTTTACAACATAGAATATCAAAATATTTAGCCTCACTGGAAATTTAGCATACTTTGATTCATTGCAAGAGAACAGAATATTGGTCAGTGGTTAAGATGGACGAAAATGGTCATACTGTAAGGGTCAATCATCACGGCAGATTCAAAGAAGCCTAGCAAATTGTCATAGTTACAGGCATTATTTAACGAGAGTTTCTAGAATAGAACAACGACAAGGGTATTAATCAAAACATTGAGGGATTTGGCACTAGAAAACTACACAAGTAGGTCATACGATAGATGAGCAAAGCATTGCGAGTTAATCGCAGTTATTTTAATTGGTTGTTGCCAGCAGAAGAATCTGAGATACACGTTCCATCTTACTTGGGACTCGTCAGCTGCATTTACCGACATACCAAAAAGTGATATTGTTCTCAATGATGCTCGAACCTAGTTCCTATCGCTTTGACTACCAAAGCATTTTCCACCACACCACTGACGCGCGACAACCACCTCTTGTACAATGGATATTAGTTATTACTATTCGTTGATTTTCTTGTAGTTTTCTGTCGTTTTACTAGATCGAATTGCTCGACGTTTAACTGCCTGTTAGTAGTATGTATAAGACAACTAAAATGTTCCCTTTTATTTTTTCGTATTTTAGGACGATATACTTCTAGACGATAAGCCGTTGGATCCAACAGAAAGCTGGAATAAACATAAAGAACCAATAAGTATGCAAATCATTTTACAATATTTCACATATCTAATGCAGCAATTGAGAAAGTCACGTGTTAATGCTGCTTTAACATTTCAACTATACTCACAACTATTCCATTTCATTGGTGCGCATATATTCAATACAGTTCTGATTGATACAGAAGCCAAACCAAGAAATGTATTAAGTGAAGGTAATCTTTGGTTGACAAGACTTGGTGCATCACGATTAACTAGACGATTGGATCGTATTAAAAGATGGGCGCATAAACAAGGTCTTGAACTGGCAGTTGAATGCCGCCTTCAACGGTGTACACAGGTAGACCAAATTCACTTAAGACTTTGTTGCCATTGGTATATTTTGACTATCCAAGTGGAAATTACCCTTTTTTGTCGCCTAAGCGTCTTGTGAGCAAAATCATTTATCTGTCCTTTACAGAAATGCAAGGGTAATGAAAGAACTTAGTCTAATTATTAACTGTTGAGGGATTGTAAAAGTTTCTTTCTCATTTTGACTGCTCAAACTTCATAATAACCACTCAATCTAATGTCGCTTCTGGAGTTTTCGGAACTCTCACAGTTATTTAAGTGCAATCATACAAATAGGCTTTATATTTCACACATTGTGTAACCTTGAAGATAAGTTCCGATTTCTATCGCCTAACTTCCAAGTTTTGAATTCAAGTATTTAGGAGCTGTTGGTACAGAAGCACCAAAATCTCAAGGTTAATACGAACCCTCACAATGTAAGTTAAGGCAGTCTGTCATCCTATTTGGATTGAGGTATCGCTTTAGAATGCTTAGCGCAAATTTTTAACTTATGTATTAGTAGTTTTGTGCAAAACGGCTTAAATGCAATCAATAATAAGCTAAATGTAAGTCCCAAATATCCTTGTGAAGGGTAGCTGGGCATCATTTTTCATTGTATGCGGAAAACTCATATATATTACCTTCATGAGGTTTTAGTGGTTTTGGTATAACAACGATAGTTGTTGATTTGTTCTCTCGTATACTTCAACTAATCCTCCAAGAGTTCATTCATACATGAAATTATAACCTCTCTACAAAGTCTGCCATTCAAATACTCAGAGAAGTACGTGGCAATCTTCAAATGTGCGAGAGTTTTCATAAGATTTCAAATACATCGTATTAAGAAATAAAAGTTTCTAGTTTGAGAGATCCTAGCCAAAAACCTTGAATCATCTGGTATGATCAGTAATATTCAGCTTTCAGAACTCATTTTCGGTGAAGACTGCCTCCCAAAAAATTGATCAACCAACCACCCAGTTTATTCAGATAGTAGCCTTAGTGACTAGTTTCAAGGTCATTACTAGAAACATTATGTATGCCAGTGTATTCTCTGCTGTGTTATTCATCGAATGTTATGCCAAATAACCAGTTAGTATCGATACAGGACCTGACGCTGCTGCGTAATAGTTCAAGTTACCCCACATCACATCAACATATCGAGGTAGAACACACCAAGTTGAATGGTGGAGAAAAAGGAAAGGAAAAAATGAAATATTGTAGAACGTCAGGAGCAGGAAGCAAGAGGAATCGAAACAATAACATCGGTGTGGTGAACAAGACGAAGACAATGTGTCTGCGCCGTTGAAATTGTTTCTGAACTATATCGTCTAGTTGTTATATTGATCGTATTGACTAGTAGAGAAACCCAGGATGAGCGCCTTGTCCTTCTCAGTATTCGTTAGCCAGATGTACGTGTACCTCAGTGAGTGTTGTTCCCGCTAAGGCTCAAACCTAGTACTCTTCACTTCAAACCCCTTTGCATTCTCTACTAGACCCTTGAGCCACGATAGTCACTTCGTGTGCGACGGGTATAGTTTTTAATGTTGTTGCTTGTATTATCCCGTTGTTGAGTAGATAAAGTTGTTGTCATGTTGCGTGTAATTGCCTATTGCTATAAAGGGTGTAGAATTTGAGACCACCGAATTCAGGCATCACAAAGACTGCAGCCTGAAAGTATGAGTTTCCCTATATGGCTCAGACCAATAGTAAGAGACTTCATGAATGTGGTAGTAACTTGGTTCAGTGTTCTCTCTTCTTGCTTTGTTCTCAAATGTGACTGGTTGACTCAGAGATTTAATTTTTCATTATCCGAAATACAATGGTTCGTTACTACATGGAGTGAATCATTCAGTGTACCATTGTAGTGTCGTTCTTCAGATTGTATTGCGTAGTCAAATGATGGTATAATAAGACAAGTGATTTGTAGTTACTCACAATGATCGTTGGTCGTGTTCCACTGATTCATTTTGATTAGTTACATAAAATAGTTAACTATTCGATAGCGAAAATCGCTTTTCAAAGCGAGGCTAATTTAACGGTAGCCATCAACAACCTGACATTTAGCTTTTAATCGATTAATTTCCTATAAGTGAACATTTTTAAGTAGAAAGATTCAGATTTTTAAGTCAAGTCTCACAGCATGCGCATAACTATCTAGCCATTAGATTGGAACCAGTGGTCTATATCCTTTACTTCTTTGAATTTGCGATACAGCACGATCGTTATTCAATGTCACTGACAAGTATTTGTATTGATAGCCAGCTTGATTTACCATACAAGTCACGGCTTCTCATTGGAACTTCGGGAAATTCATCTTGTAGCGTGTCACTAGTGAGGACCAGTCAGCAATTCAACTCAGAGGTTTGTGGGGATTTGTTTATTTCAAGGTAATACTGACCATGGAGTGTCATCAGTTCAAGAACCATTAAAAGAAGAACTGTATGGGATTCGTTTATACTGACACTATGTCATGAATTGATAGGAGTAGGAAAGTGTGAACCATTGGCTTAACAGGAATGTTCTTGCCCTAGATTCAACTTCTGCTTTGGCCACCTGTGTGAAATAAAGGGGTTCCATGCTAGGATGAAATAGCTATCCAGTGCTCCCAGGCTTTCAATGGTTCTCCAATTGATATCAGTCTATGATGAGTACTACCTTGAAAATCTACCAATCTACACAAACTTTGGAATTGAAAACTTTGGTCTTGATACATTCCTTTTGAATAATGACTAATCTTCAAAATGGTCAACTTAGCTTCAATAGGTTTTCACTTGTATTCTTTTTTCCTTTATTCACTCAGCGTATGAATACATATATGAGTGTTTCAGTTACTAGTCGAATGTGTATGAAATGTCACCTTAATATTCACAACCATAAAAGTACATCACATTTGCGTCATATACACAATGATCAAGAGAGGAATATTTTGAAGTCTCTTAAGTGAAATCTGAGGATTATTTTTACATGTATTTCACACTTGTCAGATGCGAAATAATACTCTAATAGTAACTAATGATCAGCATGATTTGGTTCAGCATATTGGCCCAATTTTAAGCATCTAAGGATATTTACCTCATCCATGATAGACTGACTTGTAGTTGATGAACTGCGAAAGTCTCCCATATTGCTTGCAAACACATATTATGAATGATACTAGTTGAGTAACTGCTCATTTTATGATGAGTATACTGCATTACAATCCTTTTTGTTGTATTCAACAGCTACAAGAAATAGCTATTGAAAGTAGAATGAGTTAGACATTTTCAGTGTGTCGCATCGAAGCGATTGTGTAGAAGTGACGACTAGACTAGTACCAGCCAACAGCATAATAAGTTGCTGACTGTTTGTTTCAGTATAATAGATGAATAATTAGCAGATGGGTAGGGTACTGGAAATGGTTAAAATCGGCAGCTCTTGGCGGTTGGCCATACAGGTATAAATTTATTCACTATTTTGTTTTCGTCCAAGTAAAGTTCAAACATCCTACTACTCAACACTTATTTACTCCTCCTCCTCTTATATCCTCTTATTCCCAGCTCTGTTGACATTTTCTGTCCTCCTCTCTCTCTATCGCTTCCTTCAGTGTTGTGAACTATGGCACCCTGAATTGACTAACTTCAATTCCAGTTTCCAAGTTGTTGTTTGTTTGTTTTCTATCTGCGGGTTTTCTCAAACCTAAGTTTTTTTTAAGTTTTGATCAGAAGAATAATATGAGAACCGTAATTACTTTGATAACACTAAAACATTCAATAACATGGATCATTAACTATTCTAAAATAAGTATGAGTTGAAATTAGGAGATGAAGAATAGGTAACAGAATAGTTGAATAATTAGGAAACACAAAATATAAAAAAGGAGTTACTTCTATTCAGGGAAATGTCATGTTCAAAGGCGAATAGAAAACTTTGTTTAGAACACAACATTTTGCCTTTCATTTTCATATCTGAAGGTTCCGAGCCCAGTTCCCGGAGGTGTTGTTTGTCCAGTTCTGAAGAGTCTCAAGCTGAGATGAAACAGCTATCTAGTGGTTTCAAGCTTTAAATTGTTCCCCGGCCGATGCCAGTCCTTGACGACTACCAACTTGATGCATTTCTATCGGTGAAAAGAATGCCATTTTAACCTAAATTTCCGAAAAGAAACTGGCTCAAAGAAACGGACTACACTGTCTTAGAAGAAAACGACTCATTCTTGAAAACTAAGTATTTTGCAGTAGTTAAAGTTTAATAATCTTTTTAAATGAACTGACTATATTTCAGCTGAAATGAATTCGTTACAATTAAACTTTTAGGCTTGTCAGCTAATCATGGCCAATCGTACAAATTTAGATGAATTTTACCAACATTGCATAAGTTTAATTTCATTGAACAGTCTTCAGTTGGAATGGTTGTTGGCGCATTTGTCTGATCCACCACCAGTTCCTGACGACTGGATTGATTTGATTGTGACTGGAGCTAAAGAAGTAAGCAAGTCGTTCAGTTTTCGTGCATGTATGTATATGCATTATCACTTTATCTTATGTAAGAGTTGTTTGTCGCCTTTCCATCTAAATCTCCTGTAGCTATTGAAACTGAAAGAAAGAAAGTTTCCTTGAGTATACTTATATGTCAATTTATCAAACTTATCCCGTCAACTAATACATGGTTGATTTCAGTGTAACTGTTTGTCAGGAACCACTTCATGTTAGTTAGAATGTTTATAGATGACTTGATACTGGTTGATGGTAATTTTTATTTGAACTCACACCATTGGCATTCTTCGATTAGATTCCTACTGAATAAAGGAACTCACTGCCTAGATAGAAGTTCACTCTTTGCGACCGGAACCCTGAGTTTATCATCTAAAATACTGGTAAGTTTTGAATGATATGACTGTAAAATGTCTTCTCTGATATCAAGGGCAAAAAACCACAAGTCACATGTCATAGGAAACCTATACTAAACTAGACAGAATCATGTAGGTGAAGTCAGTGTTGTAACTACAGGCTAAAAGGCTTTTCATCACATAATTCAATGATCCTATGGACATTATTTTTAGCGAAACTTCATTGGCAGGTAGGCTAGAGGTCTCTGGTCACCTAATATATAATTTCATCACAAAATCCAGTCCAGTCGAGTCCTTCAACTTGTCATTCCAATGTAAGTGTTAATACATGGGGAGTTGAACTGTTGAATACAGTTTGGGGTTATTATAAGCCAGACACCCGATGAAACTCAACTACTTCACTGAACAGTGTTTTGTTCTTACATGTGAAGATCTAAAGGTTTTTTCCTCGGTTTAGTCTGTTCACCCATTCCTCCCTTTTAATAATGAGTAGGATACACAACACATGTTGTTTGTTTACTTTTCGCTCAAAAACGTTCGTTATTATTCTCGTTGTCTTCAGGATGGAGGTGTTTGCTCTTAGTCAAATGAATCCTTTCAGGTATTTCATGAGCAAAGTATTCCAGTTCTGATCCACAGTGTTCTGATTTAGTTTCTCGCATAGTTAACACCGCACATACCTTCTTTAGAGATCGAGAGGTGGAGAAAATTTGTCTTTCTGCAACCTCAGAGACCTTTTCACAAACGACCTTGGTCTCGTCTAAACTTAAATCAGCTTGTCAAAAATGGATGCCTTTTCAGTTTGAAATGAAAGAAATAAAGTTGTGGTAACTGAGAAAATTGACACCAGTGAAGATCAAAAGTCTCAATAATTTTAACCAAACAGTATTTTTAATTCAGGTGATATTTTCACAAATGACGACTTGCTTTTAACTTGATATAAAAGCAGAACGTTTCAGAAAATTCAAACAAGTGATTGCTGGACATTCAGTCAGACGTCAAAATGATAAAGTCATCTGAAATCTAGCGACAGAGTTACAATCTTTTGTTTAATATTACCCTGAGAACCTCATAAGTATTAGTGTTTCACTAGCCCATTAAACTGCTTGACTGACCGACTGATAAAACCAACGCGGAACCTTGCAAACAAGTGCATCGGCTCAAGTTGCCACACATCATAGTAGTATCCAAAGAACAATTAGATAGAAAAAGAGTGATATCAAAGAAGGCAAGGTTGTGTGACAGGATAAACAGTTTGAAGATAGAGGTTAGTGGGAATATTCAATCGTTAATAGATGTCAAGGAGTGAATGTATTTGCGTCGTTGTAAACGATTTTCATCCATGTCACCAAGAGTCTCGGGGATGATATGATTTGAACACTTTCCGGCCAGAGTACTTCATTGGTGGCGTTGCTGATTGCAACATTGGGTGAATTATGTTCTAACTCATGATGAACGTCAGTTTCTTCGAGGTCGCGGATACTACTTGCTGAAGCGTACCAGCAAGCACTAAACCTAGCTTCAGGTCTTCGTGAAGACTTCCGCCCACCAACCAACTAATACCCGTCAAAGTGCACCGCTAAGCTGAACCTCCTAGTTTGGTGGTGACATTGCGGATTGATGAACAGGATTCGGTTCGCACTCAGGAGTAGACAACATGAAATTAGTTGCTCTTCAGTGCCCATGCAATCGAAACTTTCCTTCTCAGATGAATTAATTAGAGTATATCTCTGGAAATATCAGCTACAACAGCGAAAACAAGTCACCTGGTGATTGAAACATTTTAGCGTAGTTAGCTAGCATTGCTGACTGACATTGTTGTGGGTCTATGATGAATATTATAAAATATACAGATCCTCATGATAATAAAGTTCTCAGTAGTAATAATAGTGTTGATGAAAGTAGCAAATAATCAAAAGAGAGAAGACAACACAAGAATGTTGATCCATTGATGAAAAACTGTGTACTGTTAGGTGAAGTCTCAATACTAACATCTGAGTGATAAGGTCGCTTACTGCGGATTGTCTCTATCCAGCAAACTGTAAAGATGTTTATCATGTTTTTTTCTTACCAAGGGAGAGGTGTACAGATGTACAGCGTCGATATACCTTTCACCCGATACCTGAATGTATATACAATTTCTGGATACAGAAACTGAAACTATTTGCTTGAATTTTAATAGCTTCCATGTTACGCAAAAGATGAGTTCAAGTACAGGTAGAAAGATTCACTGATATGCGATAAATAATTTTGAATGCATTAGTATCTTCGAAAGAGTATGCTATGACTGTTAGTGTGACTCAACAGTCTACTAGCAATATAAGCATAGCAGTCTACGAGCTATACGAACCTAACCTGCAAACAAGTCGACTCTACACCCCAATAAGAACGTCAACCAAAACAATAACAATACCGATTATGCGCACAGACAAGAAGAGAAGACGGACCGTTGACAAAGTCTTTTTATTGTCTCAACAACAGTCATAACAGTTGAGAGCGATGGTGAATGTGTACACTTCTAAACGACGTTAACAACACATTTAGGTTAAAAAAGTTAACAACCAATTAGAATTCAACCTCCAGAGCAATGGGGAAACAAAAGCCAGCAAGGTCGCAAAACAGCAATGATAAGTTATTTTAAGGTCATAGACAAACACCAGGCAACATTATGCAAAATTAGGAGCATATATCAGGGTATAGTCACCATCGACCAAATGCCACAAGAGTGAGCTTCTCGTGGATTTTATCAATCCCCTTCTTAACTAGAGTTGCGTAAACGTGCATCAGAAATTAGCTGTTGAAGAACTGAATCCCGTATATAGCTAAAATCTGTGCTACCGAACAATTTTAGATCGTTCAACACTGCAACCAGAATATTTCATACCGTAAACTGAGGGTATTAGAACCAAAGAACTTCACCATCGTATAACATTTCTTCAATAAACTTGAAACGGCCAGTCAGAGTCTAATTTTGTGTGTTAACATTTTGGAATGCGGGTGCTCCGCAAATATCTACAGTTTATGCTACAAGTAAACTAATTTTTCTAGGGATAAGAAATGAATATCTTTCTATTTGCTGAGGAGTTATGATCACAAATGCTTGCGTCGTTTTACAAATAGGAGTGTAGTAACTAAAACTATGCAAAGTGGTCGAGAAGGCAGGCATGGAGTTTCATTGTTTGTTTTTGAATGTGAAAGGTTTTAAAATATACTTGTACACCATAAATTAATCAGCCAGACCTACTGGCCTATTATTTTCGTAAGGCGTTCCCCCTTAAATTGAGACGCTGAGATTTAGTAGTTATAATTAGGGTCAGGATATGATCCCATGTTTGTCTATTGATGCCTACGTGTAACCTAGTGAAAGTCATTCATTCTTGATTTCTTCAGCTTTGGAGCAATATGAACGTTTGAGGAGATCTGTCGAATTGCCAAATACAGTAAAATTTACTGACAAAATTTACTAGTTTGATCAAACTTCTCCTCATAAACTATTGGCAAGCTCTCTGTTGACAGTCAAACAACATTAATATTTCAAAGTCACTGAAGGGGTCACTTGGGCATGGCAGAATTCCTCAGTTCCCTCTTGGAGTTGTTCTGTTTATTACGGAACACATACATATAATTAATAGGATCTTAAATATAGACATAATAGTAAATCTTCCGAAATTTTTTCAATGAATTACATCTAATTTAGGTGAATGACCGTGCATATGCAGATGAAATGGAGCACTACATCAATACAGGACAATCTGACTTAACAGTCTCTGAGTTACAATTGAATGAATTAAAAGAATTACCTATCCCGCTACTACTGCCGGCGGATGGTTATGCTTCAGATGCTGTCTTAACTGGTATCCCAGACGGTCTTTTGGATTTTCTACGTCCGCTCATCAAAGATGGATTAATTAAGGTGAAGAAGCATTCCATTACAAATGGACAATTGGATAACCGACCGTGGACTAATTGTATGCGCTTAGCAATGGTGAGTTTGACAATGTAGTCTTTCTTATTTTTGCATTTCATCATTCTAACTACTCATAAGTAGATTTACATTTCTAAGTAAAATTATAGACCATATTATATCATGATTGCTGATAACATTCCAAATCAACCTCACTCTAATTCAGTTTATGACTCATTTTGTAAATACTACGACCACGTGCGAAGTATTATGGAATGAATAGGTAGATGAAAATATTTACAGTTTTTCTGTCATCAGTTGCTATTCAGCAGTTCGATTGTTGTAAAGATTTTCAAAACGCGCGTAAGTAAGCAATAAGAATTGAAGATTTATTCCGGTGATTAAAATAAGTTCAAGGAACGTTATGGTGTAATATACATTGGCGGGAAAGTATTTTTAGTCAATCGTTTAAGCAGGCTGTGGATAAGTGGGTGAAGAGTGAGGAATTTGATTGCCCACTGATAATTTTTATTGACAACCTTTTGGAAATTTGAAACAATTAGTCCCTTTAATAAATTTCGATAACGCTATTAGAAGATGAAGATTATCTGAAAAATGTGATGTATTTGCGCAATACATTTTTCAGATAATCTTCGTATTCTAATAGCGTTATCGAAACCTTTTGGAAGTCAGAATATAAGAGATACAGTTTGCACGTTAATCAACAGATTTGAACACGTGGCACTGGAATTTTTAAGAAATTGACAGTCTGTAACAGTGACATCCTACTGAAGTGATTTTTGGTCAAAAAAGCCTTTTTATATTTATTAGAAATTGGTAAGATTTTCCGTAGCTAAAATTAACGGTTCCTCCGACCAAATACTACTTAGTTGAATCTGTCCGAAGGCATGGATTTCGGAGAACGCAAGCATATTTCTCTGGAAAGTTTTCGTTATCATAAAATACTGGGTATTTAGCCCCTCAGTTGAATGTACATATCACAAATATTTTAGTCAAGCAGCACTTAGTGACTGTTTTGTTTACATGCTTGCTGCTTTTCACTAATACGCATGCATAACTGTCTCTCAGAAACACGTTCAAGAATTTGACTTCTCAGGGTGAGTCAGTTTCTGCTGATGATTTGCTTTGAATGCAGCTATTATATTGTTTTAACTGGATGGAAATGGGATAAAAGCACTATGTATGAAAATATTTGTTTGATTCTAGAATCACTATCGTTCAACGCCTACTGTATGATCTCCTTTTACTAACGTTCACTGCCTCACATTGTCAGAATGACTTTTCAAAATCAGTATAAATTCATTCTAATTTGGGAGTATGTTGTCGCAAAGTGACGACTTCTTTGTAATGTATCATCATCTTGATCTTAAAACGAACCTTTGGTCTTTCAGGTATCATAGCTGGCATATCAATATATCGATTTAATATGGTCTTACTTTTATGAGAAATATCTCATAGCACTAGTTAGTAAATCTTCTCAGATGACTATTTTTTCAACTAGCTGCCTGTAATTCCCATAAGGTTTTTCTCTGCATCTCACTACGATGCTTGACATTAAGGTGCCATGAATTAATAGAGTCTCCATATTACTATAATTTCTAATCAGCTGTGTTGCTTAGCAGTAGCACATTGGGTTAATTAAAGCAAGTATCTCACCATATTTGACCATGGTTAGAAGGACAATGCAGAAAAGAAGAATCATGTAGGGACTTCATTTGTTAACTGGTAACCATTGGGAGTCAGCACACTACACCACTTCACTGCCACATGGATCGAGGATCAAAGGAAAATGTTTGACGAGGAGTCACATAAGCTAACCATCTTCAATCTCAGCTTCTCAGTCAGTATTACAGATCATATAAAAATCATGAAACAGTAATAGTAACGAAAGTTTCAGGGCATTCACGCAGATTTAGTGTTTAGGGTCAGAGCAGAGTCGTTTAGATTGTTAGTGGGACTCAGGTAGTCCCATGTCGTATAATGAGGACCGCCTTCTGAACCAGTGTGCACACCACAGCATATTTTTAGCTAGCACCAACTTCCAGTACATTCATCACAGTCATATCTCATCCCTCTGCTCCTCAATCTTGAACTCATACAGATCATGTTACAGTTAGTTATTGATAGTAAAGTTATATTCAAAATATCAGCTTGCTCTGAATCACCTGTTTACACTCTGATCGCACCTCAATATGTGTTAGTTTCATCTTGTGTGTTACTGACGACCACTACCGTCGTCAAGAACGGGTTGATGTGGGCGAATTTGTTGTTCTCAGTATAGCAGCCACGTTGCAGATTAAACTAGATTCAAGGCCAGCAGTCCATCCCCCAGAAATCAGAGATTATTATGGACTGCACCCGAAAATCGCTGCAAAGAAACAGAATAAATCTGTTCTCAGCTTCGAAAAACGTCTCGTTAATAGACACTATGGTCTTGGTTGGTTCCTTGCAACTTCTTGACTCTCGTCAGTCTGCTTCAGCATATAGTGCGTAAAATGACATGCTTAAGGTGCTTACATAACAGAATACACAATATCAGTTGGTTGAAAGACTTTGAGGCCTGTTGGTTGAAAGGCTTGTGTGAGTTAGGAGCAGTAACTGTATCTGGTGATTACCGGGAGTTGCTTCATCTCATACAAGCCGCTACCAGCAAGGAGCTCAGTAACAATGAGATGGTCTATGAAATAGGCAGCAAGCTAATTATCAGCTTTTGAAGATCATTGGAATGCTGCACAGAGCACTTCAAAAAGCAACTTAGTTCGACTATTCTCCAGTAACATTGATTTTAGTTTTTTGTGGTCCGTGGCCAGTTGATACTTCGGCGTAGGTGCAAGTGTTTCAAATGAAAAATCGGAAGTTATCAAGAAGTCTTCGTATTTGATCATTTATATGAGTTCTGGTTAGGGTGTGACTGATGATATCCCCGATCGTATGTAAAGGGCTGGAGCGTCATACCCCGGTCTGGTTCGCATTCGGCGCCATCTCAACGTTAGCCTAACTCCAAGGTGTCGGGTGCGCAAAGCATTCATATGAGTATTTCTGCTTTACACCTGCACTTACTGAGATCTCCAAGCTGAGGATGACCAGCCACTCTGCATGTTGTCCAATACGGTTGTCTTCAAAGGACTGCTGGTACCTGGTGTAATCACAATGTAAATTACTCTGGGATACAATGATGTAGACTTGGATGGTACGTTGACTGTCATTTGTTCAACGAAGTCATTTTGAAACTATGGGCTCTGTGGCTTGAACACGTGCTACGGATATTATCCCAACGGTTTGCATGCCGTCTACTGTTCGCTTGCCCTTGGACTTATATGACAAGAAAGTGGAGAAGTGCCCAGTATATGACATCGTGCTATGAAGTGAAGGATATTCCCCTTGTATTAGCATCCGTTGGTGTCTGATTGGTCTCTCGATGGAGAGTGGGACACCACGTGCCTCAGTGGCCTGAAGCAATACCAGTTATGTTTCAGAACTGAAATCACTGGGAATTATGCTGCTGCATTCTAGTTTCTTGTTATCGAACGGTAAAGGAAAGACCATAGAAGATTCGTTAAATGCAGGTTTCAGATTCATTTCTTCGATAACCCACCTCTATTTTTCCTTCTGCACTTTCTCCATTTCCATCCTACTGAATTACATTAGTGTCTTCTTAGAGTTCCAATGACGCCTTTCTTGGGGCATTAACTACAAGAGGTTTGTGTTTTTAAATGGCTAATCGGTAAATAAACTATCTGCTTGACAGTTCTACCATGGTAGCTTCCAGAAGCATCTGACCAAATTAGTGTTTGAAGGCAAAAGTGACTGTCTTCTCTGAGGAGCTGATATCAGTATGTGGCCGAGTGATTGATCTAGCGCCTTCAGAACACTTCGCATCCTCATTATACAATCAGTAACGACTGCATAGCCTAATTCCTATTATCTTTTTATTTCTGTCTTTCACTGGCCACCAGTATGAAAAAGAAAATGACGATCGAAATCAACACAATGAAGCGAAATCGACAACATTATCAAGATCTAATCGAGGTCGTCCAAGTCCCACTACTACTGATAAGCACGACCAATTAAAACAAGAAAATCGACAAGGTGAAAGACAACACTTCAATGAAAGTAATGATAATGAAACAAATTCTACTAGTAGTCTTACTAGTAGTATTGATAGTAGTGGGAGCAATTTTAAAGAATTCTCTACACAAACTGTACGCTATCAACCAAATAAAACTGGGACTTTACAGAAATCGTTTAACTCATTACTGGCGAATAAAGAGACGAGAACACACCTTTCTCTACCGGATTTGAGTCATGTCAGCTTTGAACAACTGGCTAAAGAAGCCAACGTACCAATGAAGTCAATTACTCAATTCTTTTTGAAAAAGTACAATAATAGTCTAGGGTTGAGTATAGTTGCCGCCAAAGTAAGTTGAACAGATGAGGTGATTAGCCTTTCTTTATTAACTTGTGCCGCATATTCAAAGTCGGAGTGTATACCAATGTCTTTGAAAACGCCTTTTGTACAGGTCAAATATAAGATGACACGCCGGGACTAATTTTTATTCCAATCCAATTTTTTGATGAGGGGAACACACACTAGATCATAATTGTTGATTAAATCGCATCAAACATGTGGACGTCTCTTTTTTGTTATTGACTAACCTATACCCGAAGAAATATTCTACTGTATATCATGTAGGAAAAGCTGTTATTCATCATCCACTGACATCACTTTGAGAATCATTGAGATCTAGAAGCACTCGACAGCTGTATTGCACTAGTATTTGACTTTTCAGTAGTGCACACCCATAAACCACTAGAGATCGAACCCAAGGCCTTCAGGTTCAGATGCCAACATATAACCATCCAGTCAGATTTCGCTAATCTACATTTTCCTACTTCTGTCTGTTCGTGATGTAATGCAGCAGTCCTGGTTCAATCCCTGGGTTAGGAAGAAACAGCTATCTAGTGCCTTCGGGTTTTCAATGGTTCTCTAACTAATATCAGTAAAATCCCACGTAAACCTTCAAAATGGAAGTAGGACATTTATTACTCATTCATAATGGTTATTGATGGCATAATGTTTTATGTGAGAGCATAAAGCGGTTTTTAATGAGTGATTTTGCTACATCTCTGACATCGAATGAAATTACAAGTCGGATAATACTAGAACTATACAGAGCGTCGTACAATTGAAAGATAATTTTGTTGAGGACTTTGACAACTGGCACTTATTGAGATGCCTTCAAGACCAAGGAAGTGCCTAGTCATTAGTTAATTTAATACGAAATCCTAGCGGCAGATAAAGTGAATCAGGAAACGGTTGATAGTAATCATTTCAAGACATTTCATCAGTTGCTGGAGTCATGGACCGTTTTTTAATCATAATAATGATAATAGCTTCATTCCAAATAAGAATTGTGGTACAGTATGGAAGTCTCAGCATTTAATAGTTCAACGAATTCATTCCATGTACAATATCTTTAAGCGACATAGTCATTACATTTGAATAATGTTAATAATAACAGGGAAAGAAGGCTCAATGTGAAACATGAACCTGGTACTACACTATCGTTAGGTTTGAACTTGTGAATGAATAGCAAATCCAGGACAAGTTTGATAGTAGTAGTTTTTTTCAGCCGTTACCAAACTCTGCGATTTGACACTGCTATCGACATTCTGTGCATCTATAAGTCCATTGGTGAATTGTTTATTCTTTGTTTTGTTGTTAGCTTGAAAAACAGCAGTTTGAAACCATTTTAAAAGTGTGCAAGTGACGCGTTTAAAAGACATATTTAAAAGATTAAAGCAACCTGAAAGGAAAAAACTTGATGAAATAAATTTTGGGGAGAAAATATTCAATAGCTCAAGATTTAAGCAGGTCGACTCTGTTTTAATGGTCCACATGGTCCTGTGAAATAGATATGGTCTGGTTTTAGTCTCTAAAAGACCAGGCATCACTGATTTTCCTCAAACTAGGTGCTTGACAAACCCCTGAGTGGTCACCTTTTATAGATACACGTTACTATTTCACAAAACGATTTAACATTTAATTCGAACTACTCTAAAAATCTGACATTCTATCCCAACAGGCTGAAGGACAACGTCTCTATGGAATTTATGTTAAAGAAATTGTGCCGAATGGGGCTGCTGATCGCGATGGCCGTTTAAAAACTGGTGATCAAATTTTAGCCATCGGTAATACAAGTCTCATCGGTTGTGCCCAGTCAGATGCTGTGGCGAAAATCTCTAAACAGAGTAGACCAGATGATGGTGTACAATTAATAATTGCAAGAAAAGCAGCCCAATATCATAAAATTATTGAGTTGATTCGACCTGCAACAACAGCAGCAACAACAACAACTGCTACCACTGTCAGTAGTATTAATAACCATGCTGGCATTGTTAATCATGACAACCGACGTTTACAATCAGCTGAAATGCATTTAACCACAGAAAATCAACATCGTGTACGTGATAAGCCTCATTTTAATCGTAGTCAACCAGATGTAAGTTATTAGTTTTACCATACACACCAAATATTTTTTTTCTGAATAATCTTCATGACGGATAAAGTCCGGTTTGTATAAGATGGCTAATTAATTATAATTATGCAGCCCAATCAAAACAGTGTTTGACCAAAGGAGGCTTTTGACAGCTTGTCTGTATTCTTAATCATACCTAATTTAGAATATTTTGGAATACTTACAATAATTATCGGTCTAAAAGCTTTTTTTCTGACTTCCCTACCCACTGAAAATTTAAGTGATTTATATTACACTACCTACTATCAATATAGGTAGTATATTAAAATGTGAAGAAAATAAAATTTGTACAATTGTTTTACTGAGGTTGAAGAACACAAAAAGAACAGTATTCGCCGGATTCTCATCATCTGTACACAGATGAAATAAATAAGTAAAACGGACATTCTCACTGAGTCAGAAAGGAAAAATTTTCAGGAATAACTATATTTTCGGCGATATTTTTCTCAAAAGCTGCACATCTGAATTTAAATGTTTCAGTCTGGTTCGACAAGCAATAATCTTCAGTAGATTGTGCTGAGTAAAATACGAGTAAGGGTTACGTAGGAAATTGTACTGAGGAAATTCTTGAAAATGAAACGAAGAAGCCTGCCTTACTGCACTAAAGATTTTCCCCGAATTGAGTTAAAATATTTTAATCACTTGCCCTGATAAAGTAGCAGGTTCATTTCTACCTGATCGACAGAACTTTAAGGAAAAAAATGATGAATATACTATTGGGAAGCATCAACTTTTCGAAACGTGATGGTGAAAGTAACAGAAGTTCTCAAATGAATGGAAAACAACTTCATGATTATAACTGATCGGTTTAAAAGACTGAGAACTTATGGATTTATTACTCCTAGACTATATGGTTTATCCAAGGTCCATAAATCTGGAATACCTCTGCATCTCACTTTCGATAAGTCAAGTTCTCCTAACCAGTCAATAGCTCGATGGATCTCACAAGTTCTTGAGCCAATCTAATGACAAATGTGTTAGCGTTCTGTTTATGATACGTGTGAATTTGTTGATGCGGTAACCAGTTTTAATTCTTCCAGGATGGTAGTGGTACCGTCAAATGTTAATCCCTTATTCACTTATGTACCACTCACAGAAGTTGTATACCTTCTATGCCATCATACTGACACAAATGTCGTAGGTGTTGGGCTATCTACCGCCTAATTAAAACAACTGATCGTGAGGTGTATACTGAATGCACAATTTAGCTTTCATGGACAGATGTCTCGAAAAGGAGCTGGCATAGCTCTGCAATCTCCTTTGAACCTATTACTAGCTGATTTCTTTAAGATCAGCATCGAGAATTGTAGCCTCAGGCCAGTGATCAACCAGCTGAAATTATATAAGGAATATGTTGATGACACCTTAAAAAAAGTGAAAATGTATGTGATACAGAATTAATGCTGAAGTACTTTAGTCATTATCATCCATCACTAGGGATTACAATAGAAAAAAAAGTAGAATCGAAATTTTCATGACAAGATATTCGTATTATTAAACTCTTTTGTTGATTACCTTAGTGATATTAATATCAATACAAGAGATTTGTTTCTTTCGTGTCAGCTCTCTATATACCAACATGTCTGTATCTAAAGACATTGACACTCTTTGTGGCCATATATCTTCCAGTAATTCTTCTTTCCGTATCCCTTCAACAAGTTTCAAAATGCTGGTATTAGTGTGTAGTGGTAACTTTCATTTCATATTTGAAGGGGAACATTTTCAACAAATGGATGATATGGCTTTTGGAATTTCCCTAGGATCATTACTAATTGATATTTACATCTTATGTATTGAAGGCTTGACTGGTGACCTCATTAGTGAAGTTACTCTCTATAAGAGATATGTTGATGATATAATTGTGATATGTGACAGGCATGAAGATGTGATACGTTTGTAAAAAGACTTAACACCGTACAAAACAATATACTCTTGGCATGTTCTACGATATACCCCTGAATCGTGGGAAAGATGGTTCAATAAAACTGTCGATATATAGAAAACTTACCTGGATTGGTCCCATAGCTTTTATCCAAATCAATACCAGAGAGGTTTCGTAATGTGTATATTCAAAAGGATTCAATATATCTCTACGGAAGACTAAATGCATGATGATATCAAAATATTAACTGGAAAATTAGTGCAAAATGAATATCCAATAAACTTCATAAATCAATGTAAAAATCGACCATCTTTGAAACCTACTCTGTATTCTGTTTCGAAATCCATTAATATTGCGTTATTGTATAAGGGGGAATCTAACAGCGCAGTTTTAAAACGAAGGCTAAGGTCTGCTATTAGTAAAACATGCTGTACAGATAGACTTATCGTAGTTGAGATGACCAAACACATGCTGCAACACATACCTCAACAATGTGTAAACGATAGCGTCACATCCCACTGCGTTTATCAATTTGAATATGTGTATGAACACGAACATAGGGAGGACCAATCAAGATATGCACTTGAGGTTCAGGGAGTATGTACTATAATGGCTACAGAAGCAGCAGAATTCATAAACATTTATAAGTGCAGGTGGCAGACAACCATCATCGTCCATTGCAAAGCATACTATTGATAAAGGTCGCAGAAATGATATTAAAATAGCCTTTCGAGTTTTGTATCGAAAATGTCACTGGTGAATACTTAGTAATCTTCTTGGTTGCGACTAGCAGAGGAATCCGCAAGGCACGCTTCGTCCTATTTGGGACCAGTCAGCCGGATTCACCTGCACCCTAGTGAGTGTTGTTCCCACTGGGACCCATCGCTTCAAGCACTAAGGCGCCATCTACTAGGCCACGGAGGCACGATAGTCACCTCTTGTATAACGGGTTTTAGTTACGAATATTTATTGATGTGCTTAGATTTTCTGAAGCAGTAGCCACAGAAAAATTCAAGCATCCATTGTGTGTTCAAAAGCCGTTTGTACTCACACTAAAGCTACCCTGTTTATCTTCAAATCTTAACATTCTCCCTTCATTACCTTTCTGAGCACTGAATTCCTTTATATCATATTTGTCCTTCCCCCACTTTTAGTTTTCATATAAAATGCCTTAACAAGTAAATGTGTAATCAGACTGTTCTAAATGTACAGAGCTAATCCATCACATTTTTCAGATAATCTAAGTTTTCTAATTGCGTTTTCAAAATTCACATAAGGGACTTATTGTTTCATACTGTACAACTTATAAAGATAAATTTGCTGAAAGGGATTTCCTGTATTGAATTATCCATTCTATAAAAAGGACTTCATCGTTAAACCATGGGTAGAATTTTGTGCTGTGTGAACCCTCATTGTTATGGATAGCATTCGAGTGCAGTGTTCTTTTACGATGATTTCCTATTTCGGTTAGTGAATCCAAAATACATTCTAACTCATTTTTTAGTATCATCTTAACAGATTTTCCTTACTCTGACTGTCGAATGCATCGCTAAATTTCGTTTATATCGTATAGGTATAGAACTAAGGAGGTGTATACATTAACATGTATATCTATTTCCTTTCTACACACTTATACAGACTGAACTATATCCTTTTCGACTTATGAGAACATTAAAGAAGTCTAGCTTGTCATGTTCTGCTTTGCAAGTGAAGACGGTACAACTGACTAGGCAACTTAAACGATGTATTACCAAACACCTACCTACATCGCTGGAATAAAAAGCGGTTAAATGTATTCTAAGCTTTATTTTATCGAACCTAGTTGATGATGGTCACAGAAATGACAAAATGAAAGCGTTTCAGGTGATTTATCGTATTTCAAACACACCTGAGGCTAAAGGAATGCAACTTGGAGATCCGATCCGAACAAAATCGGTCCAGCCTTTATCTTTGCTCATACTAGGGAATAATTAATGAAGGATTTTACCTACAGATTTTAAAATGCTCTTTTCTATCCTATTTTGTCACCTCTTTCACACCCCAAACTCTATTCACGTTCAAACTTTATTGATTCCTCAGTATTGCGTAACCTTATTGTCGTGTTTCAAGCTCTAACCTACTTTGTTTGTCTGTCCGAACACCTGCCTCCACTATCTTGTGGTTGTCAGTATTCTGATCATCCTCTATACTATCACTCGTCTTATTATTCTAACCTGAACACCTGTTATCGTTAACTTACAACTCATGTTTGGTCGGTGTATATTTTGTATGCTTGTGAAAAGCCATGTGTGTTCAAGTAAAACCTGAGGAGATCTAACTGGAAGCAACATCGTTCGATTGCATATCTTGTTAAAATTAAACTATTTGACAATGTTAATAAATAAGTATGAGTTGTAATCAAGATGTGAACAGGGGGGATAAATGCTCATCAGTTAGGAAGAAAATGAGAATTTTCTAGCTGATTCAAGGGGTTATGTCATCATATTAAGATCAAGAAAGGATTAAGCAGGCTTAGATCTTTGCAAATTTGATGACTCGTTGTATAGCTAGAATTTCAAGAATACAAAGGAAACGGTCCTTCAAACCCTTTGAAAGACTACCTTTAAATCTGTGGACCGCGGTAGAACTATTTTCCAACTGTCTACCAAGTGTTGTACAGTGTAGGTACTGGTCGATCTTCATCTGCCTTCACTCAGATCTGTTAGAAGATGTTGTCATCAGCATCGGACCACCCGTTTTCACTTAAGCCCTGTGTATCCAACTCCACAGCAGTAGGTGAATTGATGTATGCACGTGGATTCGATTAACCGTGAGTTTGTCTTTAGTATATGTGTTAATCATTGAGCGGCTAGTACAGGTGATTCACGCAGTGGGTGTATAGAGCATCCTTTAAGCAGCTTTCGCTAGTCCGCATTTTGAAACCTCACCCTCTGTACACCTCTTAAATTTTAAATTCAAAAGCTGTTTCTTCTTCAAACCAAGTTACTGATGCGTAGCAAGCGGACTCAGAGTTTTATCTACAAGTTTTTCTTGCCATCGCAGGAATTGAATTGCTTCTTCACAAGCACCAGGGTTATCAACCTTTGAGATCTAAGGGGAAAGGAAGCCGACTGATGCTACTTGTGGGTGGTGGTTATCAGTAGAGTCCAGGACAGGGATTTCGTCCTACTGAGGACTTGTCACCTGCATGTACCTGCTCCAAGTGAGTGACTGCAACCAAGAACCCACTGCTTCAAACTCCAGAGTGTTACCCACTAGGCTGCTGTGTTACCATGTATCCAAGTTGGAGCCCATATGTCAATAATGACCAACCCATTCGGTGTCATGAACGACGGGAAAATGCAGGCTATACTACCGAAGGGAAGCAGATTTAATTTCTTTTTCTGCTGATGAGAACCCAGCTATATAAGTTTCAGTATTTGTTTATTCCCCTTAGTTTTTTGATGAATGGATCTCTTAAGTGTCTCATCATGTCTTCTTGCTAACAGTACGTCTAAGAATGTTATTTGTGAATATGATTCCGTCTCTATTGTGAACTTAATTGAGGAGCAAGATTCATCAATTCATTCATTACTGGCTGCAAGTCGGAATTTTTATCAAAAGCAACTACTGTTCTACCAGCGTATCTTTTCTGGAGTTGAATCTAGTTGATAAATGGGTCAAGCATAGGACAAATGTTCAAACAGTTCACTTGTACGAGGACGTAACTGATTTCCTATGCACTACTCATTAATGAACAGAGTAGTGTGTTGGGTTATAATAATTCCCTCTTACGAATAGTTTCAGATAATTGTTACTACGATTACGAAAGCATGAAATCGGTGCTGATAGTATACTCATATAAATTCCATCATTTATCATTGTGAAATCAACGTAACTAATACAAGTTATCTTAATCTAAAGCAAGTCGTAATCACCAAGTTGAAAAAATCTCTGGAACGATGAGTGAATTATTGTCGTCTATCTATGTTCCCGCATAGAACTATAAACTTTGGTAATCACTCGATGCTTTCATACTCATGACCGGTTCACTGACCGGATGATTTCGTTCCAGAGAATTGGTGATTATCTAAGATTGCGATCTCAGTACTATGATTGGTCTTCTAGAGTAAATTAGACTTGGAAAATACCCTCCAAAGACTTCTGATCATATGTACATCCGGTGGTCACATGCACAGGGAGGACCTGTCAATCTAATACAAATGATGACCATAGAGCACATTTTTAAAATGTCTGCAACCAATCGAATGATCCCATTGACCCAGGCAATGGATATCCAAATTCATGCATAGCTAAATCTATCGAAAGATTCATCACTTTGCTTCTCTAAAAATGTTTATAAAACCTTTTTGAGGAACATGATTGGGATTATTGAAGCTCTAGCTACCAAGGAGTTTGGAACTCTTTTGTGTATTCAAAAACAGTTTTTTGTCACATTAAACCTGTCTTGGTAATTCAGCTTTAATATTATACTCTTCCCGTCTAGACTAACAATTCGACTCCACATTATATCAATTATTTTAAAAAACTCATTTCCAATGCTTCATAGCAATATGTATTCCAAGTAAGTGTTTGATCAGATCTTTTGAAATGTATTGGGCCAATTTGATACACCTTTCAGATAAACTACGTCTTCTCATCACTTCTTCGACTTTTTCAACTAGCTGTTTCAAAACTTTATCATTATTTGTTCATTATACTATCTAGCTACGGACAGAAAATCTCCAGAATATTCCTGTTGACAACAGTCATTCAAGAAACAGAGACAGGAAGAGTAACGACAGTAATCCTCCTCAGCGTCATCATCATAAACAACAACAAAACGAACAACAATCACAACACACTAACTATACTAGTAAGCCAGAAAACGGCTACACTGCCCGAAATTATCATCATTATACCGTGAACAAATCAAGACAATCAGATCAAAAAAAACAACAAATTGGTGGTTCACTCAGTCGTTCTACTCCGTCCCTGAACTTAGCTGAAGTTGGAATAAATGAAGAAGTTGTTGAACAAGACAAGAATGAAAGCTATACAGATGAGAATCGAAGAACAAGTCATCGAGTAAAACGTTCATCAAGAAATCGGACATATCTTCCAGGGAAAATTGATAGGGTATAATATTATTTGAAAATTTTTAATTCTGTTGCTTAGTCGCCGTAAAGGATAAAAAATAATGATGTGATTATCAAGCTATTTATTGCTTGGGGAATAAATTACTTGAATGCTAGAAATTAGCTGGTAGTAGGTGACTACTTATAGGGAGTCAGGTGATATTTTCAGGCTGTGAGCATCCTTGGTGAATATATATTGTTGTGTTAACCTCAGTTGCTATAAACTGTCAGATGCAGTGTTCATAAAATAATGTTGTATTCATCACGTCCACGAAAGGTTTATGCATAGGATGATACTTTTGAAAGTGATTACAAACTGTGATGCCCATCTTTATATTTCTCACAGTTGCTTAGTTTCTCAGCTGCCCAGCTGAGGTGTCAACGGGCTTTCTGCTGGAAACTCCCTCGTCAGGATGATAAGGTGTGATAACACAAAAGTGCCACAAACTAATGAAATATACTACTGAACAACTTGAGTAGTTAGTAACTCTGCAAGCCGATCTGTAGATTTCATCAACCAGATCAGAGTAACCTAAGTACTGCATGAACGTTTGGTTCGTTTTAGGTCGAGCTTATCAGCAGTCTAACCGGAGAAATCAAGCTCAAAGAGATGGCCTGATTGTTCGCATCATCTGAATCTAACTAGCTGACTTGTATGGACCAGTATCCATAAAATAGGATTTTCAACTAGCAAGTGATTGATGAATTTGTTCAGCTGCACGGCCGTCTGGTGTTTAGATCACTCTGATCTGGCTGGGGAAGTTTACAGGCTAGCTTAAGTGACTTCCGACTACTAAAGTTGTTCAACAATATATTTCGTAAGTTTATGCATTTTGGAATCCTTTAATTTCTCATAGACCTATTTGTAGTGAATGTTGCGACAAAATGATAAGCTTTTAACTTTGGTACTACGTAAAGTGAAACTACTGTTCATGATCCCACCAATCCTTAGAATCATTTGTTCACCCATTTAAAGGTAGATATCATATATATCTACCACGTTGTCATAAACCGATTCACCCTTTTGGTGAAATGAAACTGCCTGAGACCTCCTAGTCAGTACAGGTGTCTGACACCTTTATATGATAAAACTGTGTTTATCTGAAGAATAGGTTAATATGTATTGATTGGTCACAGAAGTGCAACCAATTTCATGTTATCTAGTCCTGAGTGCAGACCGAATTCCACCGATCATATTCGCAATATGGCAACCAAGCTAGGAAGCTCAGCATCGCGGTGTACATAAGTAGACGTTAGTTGGTTGGAGGCAATCGGCAGGAAGCCCTGGACGATGATGGCACAAAAATTGTGAAAAGGATGAATATACAATTATATCCCTCAAACTTACAATTCAGCCACTGAGCTAAATGATACGACCTTACAATAACTACTAGAAGTCTGTAGTCAAGTATTTTAGTATACAATAAGATTGTTCAGTTCCTCATATAAAACTTTAGTTCCTTGAAGCCTTTTATAACCAGTCGTGTTGCTCCCAAGGTTAGTAAAGGCTATGAACGAAGTTTGTGAGGCATGTTTCATCCGGTATGAAACCCATCAGCCATTAGTACTTGTGTGTTTGTATCCGTGTTTCGGAATTTTTGACGAGAATTGAAGTGAGAGTTCATCGATCTAAAAGCATTGGTATCGTGCATTATATTAGGCTACTGAGTGACAATATTCACCATTTGTTCAATGAATGGTTGTTATCATTATTATAACCCAATTATTGATTTTCGTGACTTAAATGACTAACCATTCCATTGACTCTGAGTATTGATTTGCCAACATCAATACTGATGATAGTCTTTCAAGGACTTTCAAATGATAGTATTAATCTATAATGAAACAATGATTCATAAATCTGCTGTTAACCACTAGCAAGTAACAATGAGTCCTGCCAATAGTGAAAAATCTACTCATTTATGAAATTAGACAGTGTTCACTGCCTAATCTGTACTTTTCTCTGTATATATTTCATATGAAGAGTAGCTACGATCTGAATGTTATTTTTTGGATAATCAATAATCTATTTTTCTTATTATCTCTTAATTATCAATACCTAGCCTCAGAGTGTAGGTCCAAGATCCACATCAGAAGTTGATCGACAGCGTATTCATTCGCAGTCTACACCAAGTTCACCATCATCGTTGGTTACAACCACATCATCATCTGAATCAGATATTGTCGTGAATGAACCAGACGATGATAACGAACAGTATCGCAGTAATTCTCGTCTTCAAAATCATCATCATCATCGTAACTTTCAGTCTACACATAAACAACAGGAATTAAATCAAGGCACTAGTAGAACGGAAACATCAGCTGAATCTTTACGACAGCATAAAAATAAAAAACTTTCCTCATCTCCATCACTACCAACTCATCATATTCATGCAAAGTTCCAGTCACAACCAAACATCTCAAAAAACATAGACGATATCATTGAAAATGCTAATAACAATAATAATAATAATAATAATAGTGATAATAAAAATTCCCCAGTGAATAGTGATGCTGCGTATCCATCTTATCGTCATCATGAAAAGCCTTTACCGATGGTAGAATCCGTTTCTAATGAATTTACAAGTTTGGAATCTGTTAGTAGTCAACAAACTGTTTGCAGTTTAAATGAATCACAGCCAATTACAGATAACTATAATCATAGGATGAGGGCAAATAGTCATGAAACTCGACGTGTTCGCCATCAACCGCCGCCGCCACCGCCACCACAAACATCTCAACCGTCAAATGCACCATTGAACCATGGTAGGTTTGGTTATTTGTGATATCTTTTTCTTTTCTAATAAAGACCCGTTAAATTTAGACTCATGAATAAGACTGTTCAACGTTTTGAGCGTCATGTCTAGGCCGCTATCGAGACATCCTTTGATACGTGGTGGAAGCCTGTTCAATATCAGAAGAGAGAAATATTCATTCGTAATGGATAATAGTGATAATCTTTACTCACCACTGAGGTAGTGACTCAGTATGACCAGTCTTATGGGAACCTTAAACTCCTGACTGCGATGATAATGGTTATTCAGCTAAATAGAAGTCATTTTCATCTATGTCTATACGCAATTTGAAAGCGAAACAATACACTTTATGGATTTTGTCGACTACAATTAAGGGTGAGAAATGAAAACTTCCTAATTCTAATTCCCTCAACACTCTACTCTCAACTCTGTATATGCATCTAGTTGAAGAGACATCGACCGGTGACTGACTTGACAGTATAGTGAGAACCAGGCAGTGTAATTGGTTTCAGTCATGCTATGCAGATCTCCAGGGCCGAGTTGGATACTTTACAGTTCTCTTCATGACCTTGAACAACATTGGAGTGACTTCATGAAATAAGGCCACACATCAGACAGACCATCTGTAAGTTAAGCTTCTGTCTGTCTGTCAGTCAATCTTCCTAGAGACCATGTGGTTGAAAGACAGTATCTTCTACGTGTGTATGATTGAGTTCTTTGTTTAACACCAAAATTGAGTTATCTTACATAATTGTAATCCATGCTATTGCATAACCAGTTAATTGTGTTAGTGTGTTGACGATTGTGCATAAATATCGACTGCATTATACATGTCGGAAAACAAACTAGTTCATTTTGAAGATTATAACTGTTTTACGCTGACGCATACGCGCACACATACACTAAATGTATCGTACACATGGATCAGCTGATTGGATGATTAAGTCCAACTTTCAACCATGATCATATGAGTATCCATCACTAAATCAATATTCTGTTATAAAAACGTAAAAAAACAAGAGAAATAATTTGAGGGTAAACTATCTAACGCGTAGCTGACGACTTATCTTTTTTAACTGGCCTTTATCAACACAATTTGATTCGTACAATGTCCAATAGTGATACTTTTCTAAATCAAGATATTTTCTCATATCTTCGTTACAAAGCTGCAAAAAATGAAATTTTATTGACTACGAAAGATTCTAGAAGTGAGAAAGTTACCTGGCGTGAGACAGACTTGGATCATTGTGAAATACAGAAATCTGTTGGTAATGGTATTGCTGCTGCTGCTACTGATGATGATGTTGAGGAATGGAGCCAACATAAATGTACAATTAACGGTAAAGCTAAATCATCTGTAAAAATTCAAGAAGCAGAAGAAATCTCAAGGTGAGAAATGTTTTTTTCGAAAAATTCCTTTTTCGTGTATTTATCATTATTCCTGGTATCTGAAATTAAAATACTGTTTGATAAAAAGTTGAGTGTTGCAGATTGAACTGCTATAAACCCTAGCATATCACAGTACTATACTTTAGCCTTTTAAATCCTGTACAGGCCTCTATCTAACAGGCAGACAAAATCAACGTAGAACGTTGCTCAAAAGTGCATCGGTTAAAGTTGCCACATTTCACAGTAGCATAAAAAGAGCAAGTAGGTAGAAAATGATTGACGTTAAAATAGAAAAAAGTGTATAGTAGGAGGAAGAATTAAAAGATGAATGTTGATCAAAACATTCAGGCTTTAAAAGATATCAATCAAACAGTGGATATATCCGCACTGTTGTGACTGATTTAAAACCATGTCATCAAGAGTTCACAACCACTAATTCTTGCGGTCTTAGTAACCTCCCTACTTGGCTCCGACGAGTAGTCAGGGACTGGCGCTACGTCTTAGTCTGACCCTCTTCAACCTTCTTACAACTTATTCCATTTTATCCCAACATTGTACGTCGAAACTGGTGGTGGTTGTCCACGTACAACATATGCCAAAGCCATCTCAGTCACTAAAGGTTAGTAACAACACTGACTGACTTTTCCGTCTTGCCTAGTAACCTGCGCTTAACCTTGGAATTGCTTATACGGTGATCCCATAGTACGCTAGTAATGCTACGAATACACCTATAACCTACAGCCTCTTCCTACCTCCTACTTATAGTAGCAATGTCTCATAGCTGCATAACAGGAGAGTACGAATTGCATGACAGCCTACTCGTCTTTTGATTGGTTATCGGATATCTCTCCAGTTGGCACCAGAAATGTCATAAATTAGTGAATACCGAACCGGTCTTCTGCATCCACTGGACCTTAACTCACAAATACTGTTTATTTTCTACATGTCTATTCCATTTATTCAATTTAAAACAATTTTATCCTTGAATATTAACTAGATATAGAGTTTAAGAAGCATGTTTCATCCTATCTGCATATCATCAGTTAAACATCCATACCTACCTGTTTGTTAGTGTTCCTGTAAAATTTGAAATTCAGCACTCACCACTTCGAACACTAAAAACTTATTCAATATGCTAATGATTTACTAGAACGTCCACAGCGAATAGGGGGGGTTAGTAATGTGAATAGTTTCCCATTTACTATTCACGGAACCTAATCGAACTGCTGTTGTTGAAATACTGATCCCTTTTTAAGACTGCTTTGAAAATGGGTATAATTTTATTTTTGTGATGGTTAATAATGACTAGATATGTAAACTATAGTTTAATTAGTGGCCAACAATCATCAACTGCTTAACTGATAACATTGTGGTATTTGAAATGGTTACTGTTGTGTTTGACTGTCATTAAGAAAGTCGATGGTGAGTCGTAACTATGCCTGGATGAAAGAGTCGTAAACGGGACGAAATATATGTGCATTGGTTGGTCACTGGAGAGCAACTAAATTCATGTTTGTCCTGATTCCTGGTCAAATTGTATGGATCATTTTACAAGGTGGCCACCAAGCTGGGAAGCAGACCATTGTGGTGCACTTTGATGTATGTTGGTTGGTTTGAGGCCATTGTCAGGAAGACTTGGACCTAGATTTTGTGCTTTTTGTCCCTTGTCAGAAAGACACGCATCACGGTCTTGAGCATTCTAGCTTGATAATCACATTGGAAAATGATCAATAGGATTCGGTCGCCACTCACGGTTAAACAACATGTAATTGGCTGCCCTCCATTGGTTAATCAGTATACGTAATCCAGTCCTACAGGTGGTTAATCACAGCCCGAGTTGCTCACTGGTGATGTCCCTAACTACAACATGGGCTGATGCAGGTTCAGATTCCAGAGGTGAGATCAGTTCCTTCGAGGTTGCAGATGCGCCTTACTGACGAGTGACACCAAGCACGAAGCTTAGGTTCAACCAAAACTCCCTGACAACCGCCTCCAACCGGTTTACACAAAACACACAGTTTGTATTTCATTGCTGAAATAAAATTACGAATAATTTCCACGCATCCTAATTGCCTGTTTAATCATCATTAATCACCAGTCATTTTTGATTACTAATGCACTTAACAGGCAAGAATATTGGAGTTATGCAGCTATCTTAAGTTTATCGCTCCTGGATATCATCTACACATAATTTCTTGCTTGTTGGTACTCATCATGAGGAAACTGGTTTTCCTTAGGTGACTTCGATATAATTCACTCAATAGTGAAATCAAAGGTTTTACCAGTAGGCAATTCATACACCATATGTACATCTGTTAACTGATAGATTTCGACCTGTGTTAAGTCCTAAGGAGTAGATAAGTGCATCAGTTGCCTTCTGATGATCAATTCATGTACATAATTTGTGTTCCCAAATGCTTAGTAGTAACTTCACGGGTTTCAGCATTCAAGGATGGGGATCCGAATCAATGAGCGAGCAACAGTTTCCTCACGGTTGTAGTGGATACACCTTATTATTGGGCGCTGACAGACCGATATACTCATAACACTCAAGTTTTGTGTACCACTGAGTCAAGTAAGGTGCCTTAGTGGTCATACTGCGATAGTGGTCGGTAGACATCAGCCAGTGTTGAGCACTAAAGATTAGACGACCAAACTGGTTACCCTCTGATGGTTAATTCGTGTATACCACACCATCGTCAAGCTGCACCAGGTGCGGCGTCCATGAAATACATGATTGCCTACTATAGGATCAACCTACTGTATTGCAAACATTATCATCCTAACTTCTTTCAAGGATATCAGACGGTTAAAGTTTTGAATCACGGGCATTTTCTCAAGACTTTTGGATTTTAATGGGACTGCTTGTCGAATAATTATGAAGTTGATGATATACTTCTGGGGGAAAATGATCAAGTAGTGAACAAGGTTGTGTACCTAAAGCAACTGAGGTGTCTGAGAAATTCTGAAGTATTTAGGCACCAGTATCCTTCTGCTAAAACATTTCCTACTACAGACACACACAACTAACAGAATGGAGTGAACAAATGAGTCGAAATATTGAAGAAATGAAATTACTATCTTCAAAATGCTCTATATATAGGTTTCCTGTTGAAGGTTAGAATATCTTCCCATTATCAGTAAAAGATCTCATGACGAAGATTCAAATGTGACACATCACCTTCAGTTGATGACTAACTGAAAAAGTAGGATCATTGCTACGAAACCCTAAGACAATTCATGTTTTTCTTTATACTCATGTAATTCGAAGTATTTACAATAATTGGTTAAATTAACGAAAACAATATGTAAATGTATATATCAAGTTTATTTAATCTTATTCAACATGCACATACATGTGCACGCACAGAAACAATTCACCGAAATCGTTAAAAAGTGATAATCTCACCTCTGATCGCAGTTCAGATGATCGCCTTCCTCATTACTCACATCCAATTGAGAACGCCTCATTGTTTAGAGGTAATGAAAAAGTGACTGAAGAGATACCAAAAAGTGCCAGTGCCACAACAGGACTGCATAATGATCAACGTGTTCAATCTGACCAGAGTGTATCGCATCCTATCGTCTCGTCATCGGGAAATTATCAACAAGGCAACTCTACGTCAAAATCACTGATGCATGAAGACGAGCCAGCCTCAGAGGCGTTGAAGCCACCTTCTCATGCAGTTGTTTCCATTAATCGATGGACTGAAGAGTCGAATGTAACAATCAATGGACCAGTACATTTTACTGACCTTCCAAATGTACATATTGATCCCCAACGTGGTCGGTAAGTAGTGATATGTGTCCCTCACTTTCACCGCATGATACCCACCTCTGCACACATCCTCACAATCTTAATGCACATTGTGTACTACTGTTCACAATTTTGATTTTCATTTTGAAAAAAAGCAGAAATGATTCGCTGAACATTTGTCTTGCATGCACAGTGCACCAACTCCTAGAGGTATTATTATCAGCTGAGTCACTGCTTCCTTCCTAATAATGTTTTTTATACATGGTTACTGGTAGAAATCTAAGGCTAGTCAGATAGCAATGCGCCATCAGTCTTTGTAGCATATGGCTGTTGGCCCTGGAGATGTAGAGTACATAGATGATAGCCTACGTGTATCTGAAATCACTCCCCAATACACTAGTCACGTGACAAACGTGATTAACAGGAACCAGTCGGCAATCTAAACTACACAAAATGGTTATGGACATTATACAGTGACCGGTTGATACAGCTGAAAAGCTCAGTTGTAACATCACTTACAACAATGGTGACTGGTAGACGCTGGAATCATTAGAAGAGTTTAGGCCTAAAACTTGGAAGTACACACCCTGCTAGCGAATGCCAGTAAGCGTCGGCGGTTATTTAATACTCATTTATAAAAAAACTTCTGTTATCAATTGTAAAATGCTTTGTGTACGACAGTAAATTTAAGCTGTAGCCTAATGGTCTAAATGAGTGAGTTTCAGTGCGAGGTCTATGCACTAGAACACAGCCGTAACTATCGAGCTTTAGATAGTCAGGTGGTATCATCACCCTTCATGTAGTGAACTTGGCCTCATTGCTCAATGTATGGGTATGCAAATAGTGACTGAAAGGGTTTGATCTGTCTTTTTTCTAGCAACCTTAGAAAATGCTGAAATAACCAATCAGGTCTCAGTATTAGCAATCGCTATGGTGGCCTTTAAAGTGACCCCAGAAAGATACACGGCTTGTATAGCATAACTGCGTAAACGTGAGAATCAATCTATATGTGGCAAACTGCGTACGTGACTTTCATTGAAATACGATAATCAATTACGGGATTGTCAAGTATATCTGAAAGTGTTGAAATAGTTTTTGTTGTTTGCCATTGTCTTCAAATTTACGTGTGGATGTATATTTCCGTGTGAATTCTACCTGATTCCCTTTTACTGAAGTTACTTCTTCTTTTTCAATTAATTCAACAGCATCTCAACCAAATCTTATCCTAACAATAACACAAACAAAACGCCAAACGATCTACATGAACACGTATCACATAAATTAACAAATAATTACTCAAATGACATTATTCTACCTTCAAAATCGCTTGTACATGGTCGTATTTCTCAGTTTACAAGTGAATATGAAGAATTCAACTTACCGAAAACCTCTACAACAACTCGACAAAAATCTGTTTATCTATCATCTTCATCTTATCAAAATGGAACCTCAGGTACAAAAATGTATCCAGAGAATAAAGGCGTCAATGAAGCATTCCCTAGAACGAATCATGCTTCCAATCCTCGAGTAAGTTGGTTCATTCTAAATGTTGTCAAAATATTATGAATACATTAGTGCAAACGAATCCTTGTACTAGGTTATGAACTGAGCTGTGATTGTGTGACACTTAATTCTGTGATTTTGTTGGCCATTTCATTCACAGCAGCTGTGTTCAGGCTTGTGTAAGCCAATCAACTGTAACCTTTTCACCTAAGCTTTTCAAAAACGAGTAGAGAGGGTAAATAAATAGTCTCATAATACTTGATTAAAGAACTTCTTGACGATTGAGTTCAATTATCCAGTATCAGATAAAGTATAGCTTAGGGTCATTTAACTTCATCATAACAAGGAATCATTCGATCAAAAAGCTTTAAATCAAGATATTATTCATAATCTGACCACAGCTTTCACTTGTTTTCAAATTTACCGCAATCTAGAATAAAAATTATCTATGTTAACATTTAGTTCTTGCATTTTTGAAAACATATTCGTATAATATAAACATTTTTTTCGCTGTATTCCTTTTGCTAAATTCTCTTCCTTCTTTATTACAGTTAAATCAAGAAATGCACAATCCACATGCCTATTCTAGACCTTTAAATACTCCATCATTTGTCCCCTCACCGCCTCCGGTACCAACTGCAGAATATCCGCAATATCATCCACCTGAACGGTTAGAACCAGTTCACTGGTCATCATACAAGCATTGTTCATCTTCTGATGAACAGAATAAGAATGATCAAACTACATGTCCTTACAGTAGTGTATCAAATGTGTCACCTAAACCTCCGAGTTCAGTTACATTTCAGGTTAGTTGAGTTTGCAGTTTTAATCAATACTGAACTATTTACTGTCTATTCGTGCATTCACTGTGTCAGCTGATATCAGTTAAACTGGCCGCATTGCCGCTAATTATAACCTTTGAATTCCATATCCATGATAGGTGAAACCCTGTAGTCGATAAAAATAGAATAATAGTGTGCAGGTTACTGAATCATGCTGTGTTATACCCTTTGTGTAGGTGTTATTAACAATACTAGTCGGTCACTGAGTCTTAGGTAGGTAAAGCATACGATTCGAGTCCTTGTTCCAGTGGTTTAGTCAACTAATTAGCCAAAACTTCGCATATGAGTAGAAACAGGATATACGCTCAGTTGTCTTCTACTGTCACATACGCTTCAAATTGTACTTGAATTCCATAAGGTGTGAGAATACCCGAATCTAACTTTCTGCCTGGTAACTCTGTTTCTGGGAACCTGGATGACTATGAAATTTAACTCGTTACCTATTGGATTTTCTAAATGCCATCACCCTCTAGAGTAGAACCCATTAATTGAAATTCCCTCATTCACCATATGCACATGCGTACATTGAGCAATGAGTCAGAACTAATGCATGAGGATTAATTTGCTACTTGGCTACTCAGACCTAGGCAAGTGGAGCAGATCTCGAACCCATGACCCATCGGTTGGAAGTCAAGCGTGTTGACCAACAAGCCACCTGTTCAATATTCCTCATCCTCCAGTGACTATTTAACGAATGTAGCTCTGTAAAAGTTAATATAAACGGCTTCTGACGTTTGATAGCATTTATATCCGTTAAGTATTTCCTAACAACAACTCACCGTCCGTCTCAGATTTAGGTTTTAAAGCTTTAGACATAAATCTCAACCTATACAGGTCTACTAAGTGAAATCGTGACTGCGTGTCAACTGATGACTGTAGATGAGGGTTATATTGAAATGTAACCTAATCTTCCGCGGTTCTTCGACTGCAAAAAGCTGGTTGAAACTATCTTCAAATTAATCAGATCCTTGAAAGCATTTGTAAACTAGATCACAGACTGATAGGCGTTAGAAATGTTGACACTTGGTAGACGGTAATGTGTTTACCCTGAAACTTAACAGTTCTTAGCTCGATCCCTCATTGAATCACTCATATGCGCTGATAAGAGGTCTAAAGCAAGGACAATACAGCTATTCGTTGCCCTCTGGTTTTCAAAGGTTACGTAGCTGCTGCTCAGTGTTGATGAATGCTTTAAAACTACTGAAATAGCTTTATTTCTTCTAGTTTCAACTTTTCGTTTTCGTATTCTTTTACATATTGTTCAGCTTACTTAGTTGTCAAATGCTAAGATATTGTTAAGATAGTACCCATCAAGAAGAACCATTGAAAACCTGGGAACACTGGACGGCTGTTTCCTCCTGATATGAGGCTACTAAGCAGTACGCACTCACAAAGCTGCTTGGGATGGAACTCCGGATATTAAGGTTTCACGACTAACTCATTAACCATGCAGCCACTGGCTTGAAGTTCAGTGGTCTAAACTTTATTAGATGCATCAGTTCGCATTATAGCGCGTCTGTTATCCAGTGTCTTCACTTCCGACTAGTTGATCTCATAGGTTATGGTTTCTCATTAGAACTTTGGAATATCTATTTCGAAGCATGTCAGTAATGAGCAGTATACGGTTATATATTTTAAGGTTATTGGGCTTTTTGCTTTGATGTTCACTAAGTTTTTTGCCAGTAATAAAATAAGATGTTTGATAATTGAAGAAATATTTTTACCGTTTTGTTTAGCCCTCTACAATCAACTCATCACTGAAGCTGTTGGAGCAGACAACCAATAAACCAGATTCTGAAAACAGCTACCAGTCTTCACCGTCTCTATACTCCAGTAAACCAACTGTACATACCTCTTCATCGCCAACTAGTTCAGCTGCAAATCGAGTGATTGCACTTCAGTCGGAAATTGCAGATTTAGAAGCACGACAACGTGTAGATAATCGATTGGACTTAGGTCCAACACTTGATAGACTACGTGTTGAGTTACAATTTCAAAAACGTCTTGCAGAACGTGAGTCAAACTACAGAACAATCTTGAATACTTCTTCTAGTTATAATACTCCAGGAATGGTAAACGAGATGAAAACATACAGTTTACCGGACAAATCCAACACATTGGTAAGTGGAAAGTTTTTGAACTAAATCTCATCAACATTTGACCCAAAGAAAAATTATGAGTCTAAGTATATATATAAGTTCACATATCAGGAACCTCGCCTGGTTAACTAGTTCATTAGTTACTAGCTGGTCCTAAGCCCGAATAAAGAGGGAAGGTTGGACATAGGGCTACTAACCCTACCCGTAAAATCAATCTAATTGCTGAAGGAACTTCAAACCACAAAGAAATTACAAAAAAAAATAACAAACTCATTCCTCGCTGGAATCGGAGAGACGAAATGACGCCAGTTAGTGAAAGCCTTCGATATGTCTTCTCACCCTCGATGAAAGCGAAAGTAAGAATGGGGACATGGAGTGCCCACACAATATTTGAACATACCAAGGTTGTCCAGATTGTCAAAGAGATGAGGAGGTATGGCATGGAAGTGCTAGGAATATGCGAGGAATCACCAGATGGAATGGAAGTGGACTGTCTCAATTGTCAACTGGAGAGTCAATAATCTACTCCAAAAGCGTCACCCAGACAACGACCACGAACACACTGAGTTTTGGAGTGGCTATTATGATGTCCGCAACAGCATCGAAGGCTCCCATGCAGTAGGAATCAATCTCCTCCTGCAGGATCATGACAGCAAGGTTCAACTCAAAATAAAGCAAAGTCACAATCATAGAATGCTACGCTATGCACCAACAAATAATGCGGATCAAGAGAGGGAGGAGGAATTCTACAGATAACTGCAATCAGTACTGAACAAGATCCCACCCTAGTTGGTGACATTAAAATTCTAGTGGTTTGGGTGACATGAATGCCAAACTGGGAGCGGACAACACAGGAAGAGAATCAATCATGGGTCTAGAGGCACTCAGTGAAATGAATGAGAATGGAGAACTGTTTGTAGATTTCTGCACATTCAACGATTTCGTGGTTGAAGGTAGCGTGTACAAGCACAAGAATATTCACAAAGTGACATTGACTTAACCAGATGAATACACTACACTGAAAATCAGATCGATTTCATGTCAATCTGAATGAAGTTGAGATGCAGCCCATTGAACACAAGGTCAGATCGAGAAGGAGAGCAGACGTAGGTGGTTTACACCACTCACTATCTAGTCCAAGTAACCTAACTTCAAAATCAAGTTAAAAGCCTTCACAGAAGTTCAAGTTCACAGTTCAAGTTGAACACCCACAACAGAAAGCGAAGTGAAGGACGAAACTACAAAGGAAATCTTCACGTCAGTCAGTCAGTCATCAGGAAGAAATGGGAGAGAGTAAGTAACGTCCCTGAGGGAACCTACGTGGAAGAACACTGGAATTCTTTGAAAAAGATATAGAGAGAAACCCTCGTAACCGTATCTGGAATGACGAAAAAGGAAGACTAGGAATGGATCTCGACGGACACATGGAAGCTCATAGAGAGGAGGATGGTGAAGCGGAAGATGAACCAGTGCAGGGATGAACACGGAAAAGTGGAACTGAACACAAACTACAAAACATTACACTGGACAAAGAATTGAAGAAGAGTGTATGCAAAGACAAAAGACACGTCTACGACACCTTGGCAAGTAAAGTAGAACAGGCTGCAGGTAGAAGAGACAGAGACCTGACAACATTATATCAAATAACCAGGTTACTTATCTGGGAAAGAAGAGCTCAACTCAGACGAAACCAATGAAAGATGTTGAAGGAAATCTAGTTACCGAAGAGGAGAAACAAAAGAAACGATAGACTGGCCACTTCAAAAAACTATTGAACCGATCACTAGCACCAACACCAACAGAAGAATTACCGGTGAACACAGGCCCTCCGACAAAAGCTGAAGTCCTGAACGCCATAAAGTTGCTGAAATCCGGGAAAGCAGCAAGACCAGGTGGAATTCCTCCAGAAGCACTGAAAAGAGATGCAGATACAGCAGCGGATATGCTCACACCACTATTGCAGAAAGTTTGGAAGCAAGGAAGGAAAGGTAAGGCTCCTGGTGATCGGAAGAAGGGCTACCTTGTCAAATTCCCAAAGAAGGGAGACCTAAGTGTTTGAAAAAACAGGTGCGGAATCATACTGCTGTACACCTCAAGTAAAATAATAATCTGCATCATAGTAGACAGACTAAAGGTTGCGCTGAATTCAAAATTACGACCGACACAGGCTAACTGACTGGCTTCAGGAAGTACAAATCATTTGCGGATCAAATTGCAACGCTGCGCATCATCAGAAAACAGTACACAGAATGGCAGTTAACTCAACTCTACCTCAACTTTATCGACTTTGAAAAGGCCTTTGACAGCGTCGACCGAGAAGTAATTTGCCAGACACCTGCTTCAACACTGCGGTTTTAGTGTCAGAAATCTTTGTCAACCTCTTTTAACAGCTATATGAAAATGCCAGATGCCAATTGATCTACAACAGAAGGCTCAGTGAAGCCTTTGAAGTGAAGATGGGAGTAAGACAAGGCTGCCGCCTACTATCACCGATTATCTTCTTGATTGTGGTCAACTGGACTGGATCATGCAAGAAACTGTGATGAGTGAGAAGATGAGCATATGCTGGCTGCACAGAAGAAGATTTGGACTTCGCCGCCGATGACTTGTGTCTAATGTCATACAAACTGAAAGATCTAGAGGTAAAAGCTAACAAGTTGACAGAAGAGGCGAGGTAGCGAAGAGGGGACTTCAAGTGAATGTAGAGAAGGCAGAGGTGATGAAGATAACCAACCAACAACAGCATCAACCACAAGCACCAATCACCACTTACGGGAGAAACCAGAAGGAAGTAGCCTCTTTCACCTACGTTCCTAGGCTGCATCGTTTCAACTACAGGTGGCACAGACGAGGATGTCAAAACCAGGATCAGAAAGTCAGCAATACAGGCTTTCATTAATTTGAAATCAGTGTGGAGATCTACTGAACGCAGCATAAAGCGTGAACAACATCCGGATTTTCAACACCTATGTCAAGTCAGTGCTTTCGTGTGATGGGTCAGAAACTTTGAGCGTTACGAAAAGTATTTCCAACAAACTACAAACATTCATCAACAGCTGCCTATGCTGGCTCGATACTGAAGATCAGATGGCGAGAAAGAATTAGCAACAAGGAACTCTGGGAACGAACCAACCAAGAACCTATTACCCAACAAATGTGCAGAATGAAGTAGAGATGGATTGGGCATGCACTGAGAAGTCCGACTGGGGACATCACGCTCCAGGCCCTCGAGTGGAATCCAAAGGGGAAACGACAAGTTAGGTGTCCCAGCTGAGGGTGACATGGAGGAGATCATGTGAGGAAGAAAGGAAAGCTTATGGGCAGTCGTGGGGCGAGGTTGAGAAGACCTCAGAGAATAGAGTGCATTGGAGACGTGCTACTGAAGCCGTACTTTTCACTAGGAACCCAAGGGAAAAATAATTAGAATAATAATCATATGTCAGGCTGTAAGCCACACCTATCGCATGCCTACAATTCACTAAGTAAGGAGCTGGGTAGCCTTTCACAGGAAAATGACGTTGAACAAAAAGATAGTGACTAACTTGAGTTTTGAAGTATGACAGATGTCGATAAAATCCTGTTATTCCTTTTTTAGGATGGTCAGTACACTTTTCCGAGATTAGATCACTCTGAATGAAAGATGCAGGTTATCAAAGTAGTTGATCTGGTTACTCATCACTGACCACAGTAGTAGGTGATAACCTAATCATATGAGACAGCAGAATTTGATTGTAGAGGACCATGCGTAACAACTTTCAAATTGATGCATCAAGGCTTTCGGTGTCTTAGAGTGTTGAACAATCACTTATGCTGTACCTGCTCACTATAACTTACTGAGCTGTAACTCACTAGTTTAGGCACTCGACCTTTAACCGATGGGTAAAGACTAGCCAAGGTAAGATATGATGGCTGTGTAAAACCACAGTTTACTGGCCTGAACCACTTCTCTTTACTGCCAATATCCTTTGCAAAGTTTTCCAGTCCGTTGCATTTTGTGCGTTTGTAAGGTTTGAGTGGCTGTGCAAGTGAACCTTTTGCAGGGTTTCAATTCATTTCAGCTTCTTTCAAGACACAATAACTTATTCAGGAATATTGTTAAAATACCGAAGATTACTCACTGTCCAAAGGTCATTTATAGTGTGACTCTTTAGAAGCATTTCGGCTTCAATTTGATGTAGTTGTTAAAACCGTTAAGGTGTATATTTCGATTGCAATTTCCCAAGAAAATAACATCTACACGGCGAACTGAAGGAAGTAGAAAAATTTCGATAATTGTATTCTGACCCATTTGACTTGATGGTTACGTACCATTTTAAGATCCGACTGTCCTGGGCTTGACTCGTCGCGAGGTCATGGGTGAACAGTGCTGGATGAAACAGAAATCAGCAGAATCAGGCATCTGCAATGATTATTGACAGACTATATAGTAATTCAATTACTTAGAAAAAAATATTAGTTTAGAGATAATTTATTGTCACTTTCTGTTAAAACAAGCAAAAAATGAATTACTGAAAGCCAAGAGACATTTGATGTGTGTTTCATTTATATCTGGGTCTCTTTAGTAATAAAAACTCTTAATTTCATGTAAGCCTCAGCCTAGAACAGTGTTGGATTTTTCTAACTGTTGAACGTTTTTCTCCAGGTTGAACGATAATATGATCATCTTAAAAGTTAGAGTTGCGGATTCCACTCCAGAATATACGGGATATGAATAGAAACTGCTAGTGCGCGGAGAGTGAAACTGATCTTAAAACATCGTCACAGATCATTTGAATATATGTACAAGAAGATGTCTACACACATTAACTATATTCACTAAAGAAAATTTTGTGAATTGTTAGATATATGATAGTAAAGTGACATTTGATTAATAACAATAACCACTGCATTTTTCTCGTTATAAAAGTACTTTTCAGCATTGATTTATGAATTAATGAAAACTCGATATGTTACATAATTTATCTTTGACCTCATTCGTCGTCAAAATTTGTATGTTTCACGAACTTGTGATACAATCAAATATTCACTGTTTTAACACATGATTATTGTTGTTAGTATTCATCATTTCAGTGTAGCAATTGTCCAGGTTATTTGAATGCGAAACGCATATTTGAAGGCTTGTGTATGCATGTATGTTTGTATGTGTGTGTATGTCTATCATTCTTATTACCATTTGTATGCATGAAGTTGGTGGGTGGGTGATGAATGACAGTGTTATGAAAAAAGTCAGCGATGTGATGCAATAGTGACATAGCAACAGTGCATAAATTGTACATAGCCCGGCAATTAAATCGCCTGGTTTCTACAGAACTGAGTTGTAATCATGTCTTGAAGGAAATGTGAATGGTGATGTAAGCTCCAGCTTGTCCATTTACCTGAAATTTCACATCATACGAGACTACTTGATGTCATATAGTTTGGCAGGTTAACCGTATTCCAGTTGGACGATAACCGAAGTTGAAGGGAAACCTGAATCACAATGGAAGTTGATCCTAAATGCTGTTGTCTCGACCCCTGCCATGAGTGACATCTTTTAAATCAAGTCATCATTTACCACACCACAACTCACTGCCGTTCTGTGTTGATGTGACCATAGAAAGATTCTTCGAATTTTTGGCGACAGTCCTTGTAGTGTTTTGGAATGATGCGTACTACTAACCGCCAGTTGTTAGAGAAGAGTATTAAAGGTCGAAAACACGAGACTTCAGGTGCCCGACTACCACTCTTTTATAGAGCTGGCCATGCACCGTGGAACCGCCACTTAAGCAACGTAGCAGTCAGATGCCTAGTCTTAAGATAAAAGAAGTCATAAACCCCCATTAGTCCTGATTTTTTATTCACGCCTAACCACCCTCTGTTTCATGTCATAATGTTAACTGAAGTGGGTTTACGTAAGAAAAAGGTTGAAGGTGGCCAGACTGAAATGTGACATTAGTCAGTGAAGTCTCAATGGCTGTTGGTCTGAGACTTGAGGGAAAATGTGGATTTTCGGTCGTGGTTCGTGTGACATTTGAAGTCGGTGGTTGAATATTCTAGGATATAGGACTTCGAACTAATCTCGACAATGCAGACACATCCAAATATTATCGTCATCTCAATTATCCTACTGAATCTCGTTATTGTTTCACCCACGTTTTCTTCCTCGTTTCTTTAACCTTCTACAATCTTGATCGCACTTTCCCCCTACTACTCTATTTGCACGCAACAACGCTAGGATCCAGGTAAGCAGTGACTGACTAACCAACAGTTAATACTCTTTATTTCATTCTATTCACTATTTCACTGAATGATTACTACTGAAAAAATCTAATCTTTTCAACATCTTCAGGTTATGTACCAAAAGACACCTTCAAGCTATAAATACTAGCCATAGAGATGTTCATAGACATTTAGTTTACCGCTTGATGGTATTTTCTTTAATATTGAGTCTAGAACTCAGTCATATAGCTACCAAAGTCTTCTAACCCTAACACGGTAGGTTCAACTTAGAGGGTTTGTTTGAAGTTTCTTTAGCAGTTAGATTTGTTTTACGGGGTAGGGTTGCTAGCCCTATGCCCAACCTTCCCTCTTTACCCGGGCTTAGGACCGGCTAGTAACTAGTGTACTAGTTAACCAGGCGAGGTTAACTTAGAGGGTAAATAGTGTTATTTTCTGTTATACCATTGTGTCAACCAAGATAAATCACAAGCCCATGAAATGCTTGTCTTGTGATCTGAGCGATACAGAGGAATTTCGGCTCCCATCTTGTGGTTCACAAGGAGAAAACTAAAGTTTATGTTAAGCGACTCATTGGGATTTTGGCTCATAATAGACTGTTCCCTTGCACTCTAATTTATACCTTGTCTTGTTCGTATCAGATGTGTCACACAACTCGCTTTATATCCATTTTATGAGTTTCAGTGAATTTGTAGGATATTGTTCTCATTTATTTGTGCTTTCCCCATTTACATTCTAACTTGAAGTGGAATGACTTGAACCGCTATGGAATAACACCAGGTTCTACAATGATCATATCCGCGTATCTGTAGTGCCGTTTGAACTGCCCTAACCAGATTTACAGTGGGATTCTAGGGTTCGCGGAATCCTGATCTCACGGAATCGGTCTAATAGACGGAAAACCATAACAGGCTTTGCGACAACCAATTTTTCTTGATATTCAAGTTGAACTACCCAACTACTCAACATAAATAACTCTAAAATTGAGTGATATGGGTTCGTGTCTCCTAAAGTGGCTTGAGTTTTTCGCCTTTGCAAGCACGAAATATTGTTAGGAGGCCCCCAACTGATAGCTTTTAACCATATATGTGGGTGTGGCTGACTGGCTGAAACTCTCAAGTTTGAACCGGTCGGCCCTGGGTTCAAGCTTGATAACACATATTTTAGTTTGAATTAGTGGGTAGTACTATAAACCTTTGTAAAACAGGTGCTGTTCACATCCTACTTTATATAGATCTCGACCCTATCGTGTTACATTGTATTTCACTTATAACATTTACCTAGTGAGTATATTCCTCAGTTAATATACTCTAGTCTTTATAACTTCTTCTCATGACTGTCTCTCAGTTTGGCTTTTATATATATATATATATATATATATATATATATATATATATATATATATATATCTGTAAATACAATAAAACTGAATAGCATAAAGGAAATTTAACCTGGTCAATGCTGCTTAAAATAATCCAGTAAACGCACCACTTCTCTGTTGTTTAGGAATCTGTTCACTCACGTCCGTCTTCTGTGTCAGTCACAAGTCAACCCTATCAACACGACTGGATTCATAAACGGAATCAAGCTGAAGAAGAACTATTGGAGAGGTAAGTATCTTTTGTGTACACAAAAAAGGCAGCATTCTGTTTACGCCAAATTAACCCCACTTCTTAACTACTTTGATGACAGGAAGTATTTGTGGTCAAATATTGAGGTTGACCGAATATGTAAATAGAATAGATAACCGCTATCTGTCGATTTCCTGTGGGGAATAACCAATGAAAATCCACTAATCTCCTAGACCGTATGATGATATTTTACTTTATATCCGAAGAATGCTACACTTCTAATTTGTGGATACTTGTAATTTCCTGTTGATATGCGGGATAGAATTGCTTGACTTCAGTTGGCATGTGGGCTCTTATGAAGATGCCTCAATATTGCATGATGATTTACTACCTATAAGTTGCTTGGTGGCCGGCAGAAGTGTGTTTCGTTTCATTTGGGACTTATCAGCTGGACATGTCTGTACCCCAGTGAGTGATGGTGTTCCCACTGCGACGCAAACATAATACTCACCGCTTCAAACGCCAGGGCGTTATCCATAAGTTAACTGTAGCTAACTGTTGAACATCTTGTGTAACTCATCTGTTAAATTACACCTGCAAAAGTTTCAAATGCTGGATGAAAACCAGGGAGTACTGTGCATCTGCTCCATTCCTGCCTGGAAATATACAGGAGTTTCGACACAAAGGAGACAGCCCCCAAGATTAGGCAGGCTATATCATCCAGCTAGCAAGTTTTAATTAGTAATCGACTTATTCAAATCAAATTTATTTTCAATCTGTAAATTCGTACATACCTGAATGTTATATTTGAAGGACGAGAATCGATGAAGTTATGGGAACAGACGAATATATTATTACGGGTGATTACTACTCAAGTTGTGAAAGGCAGCCGACACCAAAAGAAGTAACTACTTGAAATATCTGGTTGGGTCAGATGAATTACACAATCTCTAGAAACAGGTGAGAAATTCACAAGTGAACACAATAATAAATATGATATTTCCCAAAGGTGAAGATAGTAGAGAGATGAAATGCAGTCATCCAGGAAACATGCAAACAGATTCAAGTCTCTTCCTACCTATTTTGGATTGGTCAACTAAGCAAAACTATAAGCGTATAACTCAATAAACTACCAAATCAAAATCCGCACTGGGCTGGCTGAATTGTATTACGTTGAAAGGAAAGCGTGAATAGAATGAGAAGAGTATGTTATAACTACTTGAAAGTAAATAAGACCAACGAGAATGATGTGACAGCGGTCAAGACAGAAACTGAACACACTCCTATTGTAAGCGAAGATTAGACTTGAGCTGATGAATAGCCAAAGATTTCGATGCTTTTCCCAGTTGAAAAGACAGGGATATATACATATGTACCTTGGGAGATTCGCTTGAATTGAGCAGACTATCTCAATACCATTTCGAAGAGTAGTTGAATGATGGCAGTAAGTGAAATGTCCTACAATACAACTTTCAGTTGATTTCGTTCATTGCTTTGAGAAACTGTGCTAAATCGTGCTGTAATGTGCTGGATGGTGCCATTGTAGCTTTTCCCACAGAAGTAGGTAATTAAATAGACGGAAGTGAGGCGGACCGAATGCGGAAACATATTTTTTACACATAAGTAGGACAGTTTTCATGACGTGTGTTTTATTTTTAATTTAGAGAAGATTCTTCATATCAGATGATTTAGAAGTATACCACATACCTAATAACCTTTGAGTTACAAGTCAGTGCGTGGAAATGTTGATAAAGTCAGAATTAATGACTGATACAACTCTATTCTGTTCTACACTTATGTTGCGAAACCGACTGAAGTGGAAGATTAAATTCCATCCCAATAATATCTACTCTACGGAAGCAATCCAATCCAGTACATTTTTATTCACTGGTCTGTGTGCCACAATTCACATGTCAGTGGTTTTGATACCCCTTTGTTGCCCCAAGTGGAGTAGGTGAGTCAGGATTTGAACCCAGGACCCTGTGTCTATAAGTATTTCGCATATAATAGCACAGAAAGACGATAAGTCTTTATCATCTGTCAACAGTTGCCTCACTGTGAAATTGAGTTGCGTTCCTACTCCAAATACACTTTTTACTGACGAATTTCTTTACAGATCAAGAAAAGTAAATGCTGTTTCTGATTCCTTATCTATGAGGAAATCGGAATTTGTCTAGCAGTAGTCGGTTGGTCATAGAACATTATGTAAGTTGACATCTTCATCACACATGACATATATCTCCTTCATTTATCCTCTATAATCGTTGGGCTAAGTTGAGTAATTCCAAGCCTTATCATAAAGCTATTACCCATAGCATTTGTCTCGTTGAGGATCTTGGATCACTGCATTCTATTACAACATTTCACTTCTTCAAAGAATATTCTTTTCTGGAAGCTCATTAACAACCTGTGTGCATAAACGTCACTATATACATCACTAAAAGTTTCACCGAGCGATACGCTAGTAAATAACTAAATAACATCAGCAGAAAATATGACCATGCCGAAAGTACCAATGTTTATAGTGGCATCCTAACTGAAAATGATAACATTGTGTGGAGATATTATGAAGAAGAATTCTGAAGTCTACTGAATATCTGGTTGTCTCCTTTTTTACCGACTTCAACAATCGCTGAAATTAACCAAGGTGAATTTGTTAAATCAGGGCTATATGAAATCGGTCTAATTAATAGTAAAATTGAATCCTATGTTCACTTGATCTACTCTAGGCAAAATCAAAGAATATCTCAGCTGGAACAGGAGCACAAAGCAATGTTAATTCGGCAGGAATTACGCGCAAAAGAACGTAATCAGTGGTTTGAGCACAAACAACAACAACAACAGCAACAGCCATCAGTAAGTTATATGTAGTTTTTTTCCAGAAATCAAGGATATTACTTTTGGTATCATTAAGTCACAAAATGCTCTCTTGGTTCATTTAGTGAAGGAAATTGGCAGAACACCGTTGGTGTTAGTATTTGTTTTGCGAACGATGGAATAACAGTTTCGTTTGCGCACTTAATCAAACGTAGTTAATACTGAACTGCATATGACTCGTGTTTCATTCCTTACTACTAATCGATAGTGGCTAGCAATGGGATGTGGAACACGCGTTTAATCCTACTTGAGACTCGTCGGTTGGATGTTGCTGCCTCCCAGTCAGCGATGTTGCTTACAGTGGGACTCGAACCCAAGGTCGATCGCTTCAGACGTCTAGCGTTATCCATTAGCCCATCGACTCATGATAGCTGCTTTTTGTACGACGGGTATAGTCTTCATGTTGTTACTTGTATTATCCCGTCATTGACTGAACCGAACCGCTTGGTCTCTATTGGCATATAGATTTCTGTGCGGACGCTAGATAGATAGTGTTTCATTTTGTTTGAGAACCAATCAAAATACACCTAACTCATTCTGCGTTATGGTGACTGACTTTCTTTCCCTAGCCACATTTCCCTACGCTCAGACTCAATGCGTATTAATTTGTGGTTCCACTACACATGCTATGAAGTCATCCAACGCTTCAGTGCTTGTAAAATCCTGATATTTTCCAGTTCCAGTGATCATATTTCGTGACAGTAGGGTAAGATAGGATAGACTGTTGTACTTTATCCTTATCGTTAATTTCAGAAAACCACCATGATATACAACGAGCTAATTCCTCAGTGGCAGTGTGTATTCAATGCCTAGTCATTTGACAATTGTGGCACAAAGCAGTGGATGACAGTGTGGCTACTAAGATATATTCTGCTGAAGTTATTATTTCACTTCAAATTTATTAACAACGCATTTTGACCATCTTGCATATTAATGACATCTATTTTTGACACTTCTCCTATGAACAACTTTCAGTTATTGCTAGACTGATGTTAGGTGGTATACATTATCTGATTGGTTCTAAGACAGTTTCCACTCAGTTTAAGAAGTACCTGGAAGCTTCAGATAATTGTTTCGTCATATCATAGAACTCCTCAGCAGGGGAAATCTAGGGTCCTGTGCAGAATCAAGCCCAAACTCGTTAGGTTCAGCAGTGAGCATTTTGCCAGCATCTTCCCTACCTCTGTCTATCCGCTGTATAGTGCGACAATCATCCACTTCGAGTTTCGTTATTGCAAGAATAGAATTTGGTGTTTAAGGGAGGGTATTACTCCATTGCATTTCTCTTATTTTATGTATCCCACAGTGAAACAGTATTATTTAATAATGAGGAATTAATTCTAGTTGAAATATCATCAGTAATAATGGTCAAAGAGGATGTGTAGTGGAAATATCAGTGAGTATTCAATCTCACATCCATCAAAAATGCAGTCAGCAACATTGCATACATTCGTGCACTAGGCAGTGAACCACATCTGTTGTGTGATAGCTAATGATACTACTACGTGGCTGCCCAAATTTCGGTAGATGGAGGGGGGCTCGAACTCGTGGGTCACCGATTGAAAGTCAATGAGTCACAGCACCCCATCACATTCAACTTGGTCAACATAGTTTATATTTGTGTAACTTCCGACGTGTATGGAATAAAACAATTCTAACTTTTCACCTATAAGTCAATTTTCAACCCGTCTTTATTTTTTAATGCGTCACTATTCGTACAATGATAGTTTCTTACACTGTGATTACTGATCTAGTTTTTCAGCGTTTAAATTTGTACGCATAATCGGTGGTTTGATGTGTCTAGTACACTAATTCATATCCTTTTTCATTGAAAATATACGACAGAAAGGTCATAGTGACATCATATTCACTGTATAATTCTATGTGTCAGTATAATGAGACCTCATGAGATAGACATATAGGTCACTGTGTAGTATAAAATTGACATAAACGAACTTCTGTTACACTATCTCTAGGACAAAGTTGAGATGAATTGTGATTAGCATTACCATTAGTATAGTAGTAGTAGTAGTAGTAGTAGTAGTAGTAGTAGTAGTAGTATTGCTATGACAATACATCGAATCGATTCAAGCTATGGTGAAACGTTAATGAAGATAAGATTGGTGATCAAGGTAAATGCAAAGTTTATCAAGTTGGTATTCATAATGGACTAAAATCAGTTGGAGAAACATTAGAAACATGAAAGCAATGGACAGCTGTTTCTTCTTAGTACGGGACTTCTGACGATCTTGGGTTCGAGCCCTGGCGGAGTAATGGGTGCGCACTGCTCAAAAGTCCACTACGAGAGCGAAAAAGCTGTTCAGTGCCCCCAGATTTCCGATGTTTAGCCATCTGATGCCAGTACATAATGAATACCAACTTGAAATCAATGAATAAGTCCCCACAAACCTCCAAATTGAACAGTTTATCCTTTATTATCACTGTGACAGCATCTTATCTCATCTGTTTTTAAGCTCCATTTTAGTCTGTTTATTAGAATTGCAACAGCGTGATAATTAAAAGTGAAACAAAAATTTTGGTCTCAGTGGAATGATGTTCCACTTTCGAAGTTAGGTCTATTTGGATTGGGGTGAGAAGTCCTGACTGGTCAGCCAGTGTGAGTACACCCAAGTGATAGTAACACGCCGACAATTCATATGGCAGTTAGGAAAACGTTTGGTAACTGAAGTAAAATAAAAATGTGGTCAGCAATCGGATCTCGTAAGTGAGTTGGTAGAGCACTGGACTGGAAACCCAGTGGTGGCTGGTTCGAATCTTGCCACGGCCTAAATCTTCACCTTCGATCTTTACCTAGTATGAACACTAGTCCACTAAACCACAGCGCAGAAACTTAGCTAAATCAAGAATAGTATATCCTCATAAGATAAGGAATCTAGAAAAACCTCGGTTATGGCTATGCACGCAATTTCACACAATAGGGTGGGGCAGAGCAACAGTATTGAAAATGAACTTAGTTGGGTAGAAGGATAGGCTGACAACCAAATGTTTGTTTATCGAATCAACACCAAGTAAAAGTGGTTCCGTACCTGTCCCAAATATATGGAAAATCCTACAAACCTTATCACGAAGGAGAGGAAATTAGAACTATGTAATCTGTTTCAAGATTGCGGAGTTAAATGATATGAATATGGACAATAAATTATGTCCAAAACGTTAGCCAGTAATCAATATTGTTTCGCTGTGTGACACAGTCCTAATAAACAGACTAAAATGAAATTACAGTCTACCACAGCGCCCTATATGGATGTTTTTGAACTGTTCGAATCTGTCCGGATAACATATAAGATTTCAAAATGCAATCTCTTTTCGATGCGAACCAAAGTGTTTTCTTTAGAACCTGAGTTCCATCGAAATTTAATTCTGTATTCTATCTCTATTGAACTTAGTGCAGTCACTGGTTTGTTTTATAGCTTTTTACTGTCGACTGAAGTTTTTGAATCCTGTTTGAGGCTTGATCTATTTTTCTTCACTAGTGCATATATCCCGTTAGAAATGTCGTCTTCATAAACTGCATCACACTCAGCCTATTGCATTCGGTATACACAGTTTTGTTGTCCTTCGACCGGTATCACATCTTTGACCTTCTGTCGAAGTCGCTTTATGGTAAGGAATTAGTGACCTGTACTAATTCACTTCTTTCGAAGGAATTTTGGCTCATTGAAAACTTCACATTTTCATCTTTCCTATTCTGAAAAACACTTGGAGTAGTTATTTACTTAAAATGTACAACAAACCAACGTTAAACTTACAGTCTTACCTATTTTCCTAGTCGTAAGGCGATTAGCTTTGTTGATCTGATTTATCACGGTCAATACTGGGCGGTGATTGTAGGTGAAATGCAAGTTTGGTCTGTGGCAGGATTCGAACCAGCGACCACTGGGTTTCCGACCTGATGTTCTACCAATTCACCTACGAGATCCAACTGCTGACCAGATTTTATTTCACTTCAATCACCAAGAGTTTTTCCCAACTGCCATAGGAATTCTCGACGCGTTACTATCTCTTGGGTGTACTCACACTGGCTGCCTAGTCAGGACTTCTCACTCAAATCCCAATCTACTTGAATTAGAAATGGTGAGGTATCATTTGATCATGAATTTGTCTATTTATCCTGCCGCCGCCCAGATTTTCACTTCACCTTCAATCATCATCTGGTCTCAATAATGTCTACTAAACTATGGCTATCATAGGTGGTCAAAATAATAATGATAGCGATTAGTGAACTTTACGGTTTAAGGTTGTAAATTTTTATTATAAAGGTACACGTTATAAAATATGTTGGTTTTTGAAAAATATTTTAATCTCTAGTTTACTATTCTGTCTTTTTTTCACCCACCACAAAAATAGAACTTAAATTCATTCAGCAACTCTGTACACATTCGTGCGGTAGGCAACGAGCCATACTTATTGTATGCGAGGTAAGGGTACTACCAGACTGGGCACACTTTGGTAGGTGGACGGGTGTTGGCACTAGTGATCCACTGGTTAAAATTCAGCTCCTCAAATCAATGAGTCACAATTTATCCCACCCACCAAATAGTTGATAAAAACAAATTTGCGTAAATTTGACTGAGTCACTTTAGGGAAAAATGTCATCCACACTATCATGTGTCTTTTACATGATTTAACCAAATTTTCAGACAGAACATTCTACTATTACACTAGTCTGTGATGAACGAACAAATCAACAAATGAATACGGTTAATCGTGAACACAACTCTAGAGATTTTAAAATTCCCATTGGATCCAGTGAACAGCATGACTTCACATCCATATATGATAATAGTTGGCTGCAAATAGTGTCTGGCGTGGCTTTAATAGAGGCAATAGTGAATGCAATGCTAAAATATTGAAACCTGCCACTGTTTTCTCCTCTTTAATATAAATTGAAATGATTGGATCCCTGGATTCGGACGAATTCTTTGCTTCATATTTCCATTCCTTTTCATATGGTTTTATGAGTTCTGATATTATATATATATATATATATATATATATATATATATATATATATATATATATATGACGTATTTGTGAATTGTTGGTGAATCAGGACTGTCGACAACCAGTCGAAGTGAGATATCTATCTTGTGATGATTCAATAAATCTTTGTCATTATAACTCTTCCAAAAATGGTCTTCTGAAACTTCAACTGACTCTTACTTCTTGATCTTCTGATTGTAACTGAAGCAATACTCTGACCGTTAATGAATTCTGTTGAGCTCCTTGAAGGTTTCGGATATGGGCTTATAGTAATAGATACTTGAAACTCATTTCTCTTATCTCAGTAGCCTAGTGGGTAGCTCTCTGGTGTTTCAAGCGACAGATGGTTGGTTCAAGTCTCTGTGGGTATACAAACACTCTTCGGGATACAGGTAAGTCTACCTGATGACTCTCAAATAGGCTGAAATGCACATTCTGGATTCCACTGCTACCTATCACTTACAAATATAGGTTAGTTCAAATGTATTATAGCTCTGGTCATACAGGTTTCAACAACTTTATCTACTAAGGTCTGGCTTGCTTTAAACCAATAGCAATTAATAAATCATGCATATAATTGAATTCTGAATAGTCAGTAGTAGCAGTAGTTATCACTGAGATACAGTTTATTTTGTGATGAACTTTAAAGTAGATAATTATTAAATCAGCCTTTTTAATTAGTTACTTTAAGCGTAATAACGAAACAGACGATTTTTTGAAAAGAATAACTAACAGGAGTGCATCCTCTCTTTTATTTTCTCTAGGCACACAGCCCTTCCAATTCATTATCACAACACATAAACAATGGTGGTGATGATGATAATGAAATAAAATCCTGGAATTATCAAACTTTAAGTCAAGTACCACTCAGGCAGAGTTCGGATGATAGTAAGTGTCCACATTATTGAAAATAAAAATGCATAACCTGATGGGTATGTACATCTGTAAACGTCAGTTGTTGTAACAGCGTAATATGATCATCATTTTCATAATAACTACTTGTGTATGTTGTCACTTTTTCCCCTCTTTTTGCGGTAATAGCAGATTTGAGCAGATGTACCCAAAGAACAGGATGAAAATATGTAGATGATACATTTACTGTGCTGAATTCAGCATATATCCACAGTTTATTTACGTGCACCTTCAATAAACTCAGTAGCAGATGCAGTCGAGTTCACTTGTGTTCGCAAGCAGAATTATCTATGTCAGACTGCAGAATCAAGGGGAGAGAAGATGGTTGTTTAGTTAATAGTGTTCACAAGAAACCAGCACACTCGAATGGATACTTAGATCCTACGCCGTTTCACCCTATATAAAGGCAGTCTTAGTAAAATATGTAACTAATCAAGTCAGTAGTCTGATTAACAAATGAGATCTAAGTAAGAATCAAAATATGTTGAAGGGATATAACTACCGATTGACTACTCTCCAGATCTTGTTACAAGGCTTTAAAGGACTTGTGAGAGAGGCGGTAATAATGTGACAAGAAACTGTAACATATCTTTAAGGAAATTTGAATCTTTTATGACATCGCCTGTATAGAGAAAGGATATCATAGATTCTACGTAGAATTCTCAACAAGGCTGAAGTTAAGGTGGCATTGAAACCTAGGAACTCACTGAAAGAGAAACTTTGTGGGCCGAGACCTGGTAGATAAAATTAAGCAAAACAACTTAATCTATCGAAATTCGAGGTACTGACTCTTAGGTCAAGTATATAGATCAAAGCAGTTGATCAGGGTTAGAAAAGGGAGCGAAGTGCAAACTTATGGCGAAATATAGAATGATAAACTTTAGTAAAGTATTTAACTGGAAGAAAACCTCGACTGTTACCATACGTGCACTGGCCCATAATTTCAGACAGACAAACAAAATCAACGTAGAACCTTGCGCACACCTGCACGGGTTCAAGTCACCACACTGCACAGTAATATACAAAGAACAGTTGGATAGGAAGCGACTGATATCAAAGTAAGCAGAGTTGTTTGAGAGAATACGAAATTTTAAGCTTGGTGTGAATATTCAAGCTTCAGAAAATGTCATGGAGTCAATGCACCTGCGCCACAATGACAGATTTTCAGCCATGTCACCAAGAATCTTCAATCACTGATTCCTTTCGTCTCATGGAACCTAGCCAGGCAGTCTACATTTTCCCACACGGTTCAGACCGGGGACTTCATCGACTGGTGCTAAGCCTTGGTCTAGCCACGCTGAACTCTCGTGCAACTCAACCCAACTTCCTGTAGCATGACACGTTGATGAAGGTAGTGACTCGTCATGCGCAGTACGTGTCCAAGCCATATAAGTCGACTACTTGATGATACAACATTATTTACTGGCCTAATGCCTTAACCACCATTCACTTCTTATTATTATATCGGGTTGATCATACAAGTCTTGACTCATTTTTATCAGTGTATTGTATTGCTTTTCTATGCTGTCTGCAAATAGAATTGTCTGAATTCCTGGGATGGGTGTCGACTGCAAGTGGTTAGTGTTGATCCACTGAACAAAGATCCATTTCTCAACTTCGCTTTTTACCTAACTGTGCAAGTCTTAGGAAACTTACTCCTGCCTTCTTGTATGATGATGTGTTGTTGCATGCATAACAGTGATTGAATCCCTCATCAGGTTATTCATCTAGCACTAGCTTTCTTGATTGCTGTAAACAAGAACGACCATATTTTCATCCTGATAAGAAGTGTAGGTGACGGTTATTACCATTCCTATTCGTGAACCGATGTCTGATTTTTTCTTATACTTCACTAAATTTTGTATACATTGTTGACCATCACAGATCATATTTCTTATCTTCTTATTCTTTCACTTAGACCTTTCCCAAGCATCCAGTGGTCTGAATCGCTATGGACGCCCAAGATTTGACGAAAAACAAGAGATGCATAAGATTCCACCCTATTCATTACAACATCCAATTCAATCTCGTCTAGGTCCACAAGTCGTTGAAGGTGAATTAAGTCGTCTTCATGTCTCTGGACCGGGATCATCGATTGATGGTAGTATACGTGTAAAAAAATCTGTATCATTTGATAAAAACCTGGAGACTATATCTGTCTACAGTCCGCCTACAACACCCCAAGACAGTCTGATAGAACATTCTTCTGGAAGCAGGTTACATATTCCTAATAGAACAGTACATAATCCAGGGATGAAAACTTCACCCAATCCTCCTGCGCCACCGACTACTTCATATAAAAAAGCCTTGAGTCCACCAATTGGCTTTGAGATTGATGATAATAGAACAAATGGTAAGCACCTTAAGCTAATCATATTACTAATTGAGTAGGACAGTTTTATTTAAAAAGAAGTGCAGAGTTCGAACTATTTAATTCAATATAACAATGGCAAGTTATAAGTATTAGTAAATGATAACTTAAAGATATCGTACAAGAGGTGATTCTCATACCTCAGTGGTCTAGAGCGTAACTTCTCAGAGTGTGAAGCAGTGGATATTGGATTTGAGTCTCAGTGGGAACAACAAATTGATGAAGTCTTGGACTATTTATCTGAGTTGTACCTGGCGATGAAGTCATCGTACCTAACTTTCACTTACTAATCTTCTCTCTTTCCAAATGATACATTTTCTGCATCGGGCTCCATAGATCAGTTAGTTGAGCATCAGGACGTAACCCTATGGTTGCTGGTTCGAACCCGGCCGCGATCCAAATTTTCATTTCACATTTAATCATCAAACAGTATGAATACTAGTCTGCCAAAAGATGGCTATCTCAAATAGTCAAAGTAATAATTTATTTAATATTACCACTCTTCTCTTTAATCATTTTTTGGTGAGCCTTTGGTACAGCCACTTGAAGTGATGAACGTCTATTCAAAGTTCTGCGCTGATGCACCTAGCCGTTTGTCTGCTGTTAACACTGTGTATTAGTAGACAAAAACTGCATATTCATGGTGACAGGATATGTTTATTTAGGAAATTCTAACCACTTGATGCTACTTGTAATTTTCTGCTGTTAAATGGGATCAAAACGATGGACCTCAGCTGGCATTTGGGCCCCTATGCATGCACCTCAATTTTGCCTGAAGGTTCATTACGCTATAATTTGCTAAGTGGTAGCTAACGGTGGAATCTCAAACGTACATTTCGACCTATTTGTAACTCATTTCGCGATAGGCCGGTGGATACCACTACGGAGATGACAGCGATGGTTACTGTCCTCGAGTCTCAGTGGGAATAGCATCACTCACTTAGGTGTGTGCACACCCACCTGTTGAGTTCCAAACAGGAAAGAAACTTAGATTCTAGATTCTACTGCCATCAAGGACAAGGAAACCGTGGTGCTATTTATTGTTGCCAATAATGATAAGAAGTTAACTGTCTTAAACCTGGTGAAATACTTCAATTTGTTATCATTGAGGTAAATGGTACACTATCGAGCAGAAATGTTCAACTGTTTTGTCTTCATTCAAGAATGTCTAAATAGTACACGTCATTCTTATGATGGTTTCTTAGTTGCCACTTTCTTTTCGAACCACTTAACTGGATCTCATTGCATAGTACTTTTATTCCTAAAATATTATTGGATCTCCTGAATATTTTCAGACAGGTTTTCTAGTGTACATATGTTTTGTTGGCTTCTTTCAAGGATACTCAAGAGGAATCTTTCATTTAATTTTCAATAATGAAGTTGTCCACCCATGAAATATATATCTCCTACATGAAGTAAGGGTCGTACAGATGGCAGTACCTACTATGACAGGCCGAAGCATACGCAGTTTTGCTTCCACACTCACTAAACAAATGAGGAATGCGTTACTGAGAAAAACTATGACTGTACTCTCCATCATCAAATTGAATAGTGGTTTAATTGACATCACCCTATTTATCGAAATGGTGTTTGAGTTTTTAGAGTGTAACTGAAACTAGTCTTAGGGTGTATTAATGATGCTTAGTGGCTAGCAGTGAAATTCAGTGTGTGCAACAGCATTAATCTTACGGTTTACTGGATTACTTTTTATCACTACTGCAAAGTGAATAATATGTGTATGTTTTACTTACCTGAATTTTCTAGTCTTAGATAAACACAATCAGTCGAACAGAATAAGTTCAAACAATAGTGTGCCCAGATCGTCATCTCAGGGAAAGATTCCTACAAGCAATATGCCTAATGTAAGTTCCGATTAGCCTAATCATTATTACCTACTTGTAGATTACTTGCTTAATCCTTCTCTAATTTTGTCTTCATGTTATTTTTGTTCGAAATAAACGTACAAGAATTGTGGTATATTATGGAAGTCTAAGTATTTAATGATTCAATTTGTGGAATTAAATGCTGGAAACACTGCATGGAGCGCCTGAAACTCAGCGATCAAACACACTAGATCACCGTCCACTCATAGTATGATGGTGTATGATAACATATGAATGCTCACATTCCGGAAGGCAGAATAGACTGTGAAGTCTTAACTCATTGTTTGAAATTCGACTACTCAATCCGGATAGCTAAGGCATGAGTTGATTATGTAATTAGGCCATGTGTGAACACTCGTGATACGTATCTGCAGCCTTTGGGAAACTCATATTTTACATAAGGCTTGGGCTTCTTCATTCAGTGCTTAAATCATAATCGTGATGACTACAGTTTCAAGCTGTGACTGATTTCTGATACACTTAACAACCATAATGTAAAGGGCCACAAGGATTTCAATTAGTTCATATTTTGTTGTTGAAAATTTATCCCTTGACTTGTTGACCATATAATCTATTTCTTTTTATAACCTGTAATCCTGAAGAACAAAATTCGCTGATTGGTAAGTAAATCCATCATTAAAAACACTAACGTCAATAGAATGGTGTGTACATTAAACTATAGCTGCGATGCAACAATAGACTGAAAACTACCAATTCACTATACTTAGTACTCACTTATATGCACACAAGTTACGAATATTTGTATGCAGTATTATAATAGACTAATCTGAGTCCTTTTTTCTGCCTCGATTCCCTCCTTTCTTTGTGTGTGGGTTGGTTAATTTTTTCTTGGAAATAACAGTATTCATTTTGGGTGTGTGAATTGTTAGCAAATCATCAACAAACTGTTTTTAGTTCATTTTGTTTACCTACTTATTTTTGAGTCAGTAGCAATGTGTATATATTTGAAAATCCTAAGCTTTCAGTTATTCCTTAGATTACGTAACAGTTGCTTAACCGTATATGTTAGTGATTCGTTATCATCATAATCCATAGTTGTCAGCTTCACAAATATTTGATAGAGCAATAACCTGGCTTGAATTGTTTGCGCCATAACTTTAAAACGAAGATTTATTCATATTATAAATTTCCAGTTCATGGTTGTTACCAATGTCTTGGAAGAATTTAAGTGCCGAGCATACTTTCATCATTATGAAAAGTGAATTTTTAGTATAATCCCAGTATTTTAATAAAATCGAAACAAGGTTTTTCTAAACGTTTTGCTGGACACACTACACTCCCTCAGCTAAATATTTGGTTTGTTTTGTTTTTCTCTGCTGAAAAGCTGCGACAAATATGCTAAAGTATTTAAAAAAGTCTTGTTTCAGTTTTCGTTTGGACACGCTGCATGATGTAAAACTATTCCTCAAAGTCTTAAAGATCAAATTGGCGTTATTAAACATTCACACGGCTTGAAGCAGTTTTATTTCATTCTTAGAAATCCTTTAATCCGAGATAACGATATTTTCGAAAGCAATGTAACGTTGCTCATTTTTTATACTTGTCGAAATGACAATGATAAGTTCTGCATTTGAACTGCCGTTCACTAACAATTTCTTCCATCATCTTCATTTTCCGTTTTTCCGCTTACTTCCACTGTAAGATGCATAGCAACTTTATTTGCTACTTAAAAGGGGTTATTTTGAGATACCCTCTCGGTGTAGTGACGATTCTCGGGATATTTTGGTGCATGGTAGAAAATATTCATGAATCAGGATGCAGGTATTAAAGCTGAGATGTTCCTGTACTTGAGTTTTGGTTATCAGATGTCTGTGTCTTGTTACACATCGTTATCTCCCCCCAACCAAATCACTTTGGCTTTTAAAGATTCATTTCCTTACTTATTCGATATACGTCAACACATTTAGAGGCCTAAAGTCAAATGTTATGCTGGCAATTGTGCCAACTCGTGTTCTAGTCACAAGCAGCTTGTTTTTTAGGGGGTGATCATTTAAGCTTGAAGATCATTCTCACCACACACTAATGTGAGACGCGAACAAGTCCCTTGATGCTTAACTCAGTGATACTGAAATGATATAGTAGCTATTTTGGAACATTGGTTTAAGACTGAACTAGTCAGTACACATAATAATGATTGGTTGACCAAAAATACCCTCTATTAGTATAATTCTCTTAAACGAACTCAGTTATCGTTCATAACTACGCATCAGAACTTCAGAAAATCCTGAATCAAAGTTGTCTGCCAGTCTGAGTTAATGGCTACTGGCTAGGCTGACCACCTAAGGAAATTGATTCAGTTGAAAAATTAAAATGCCAGTTCATTGATAACAGTAAAATTCGATAACGAAATTGTACAAGTGTTCTTTGAAATGCTACTCGAAAACCAATGTAGGTTGAATTGCTATGTAGGTCATGAGCCGCAATCACTGTTGTTATCTTGTTTAGCTAACTGATAAGTGTAACGGAAGTTAATTAAGTGGGTTCGAACCTTTAAGTCAGAGGTTAATTGTAAGAATTTTGAACCGAAGAAGAACAACACCGTTTTCAGAAATATAGGAAATTCTTACCTCAACCCACCAGCTGTATAGTTATTGACTTATTCCTGACTATTGAAGATTGTGAACTCCATCATGTAACAGACTGAGGGTTGATACTGATGAGGGACTGTAAACCAGAAAATAAATAATTATCCAAAACGTCTCAGTTTTTAAATAGTTTTTAACAAATTTATGCACTGATTAGTTGACAGATATTTTTAAGTAATGATGCAAACAGTGAATTCGTGTGGTGGTGGGCGGGTGACAACAACGTGATGGTCACATTTTTGGTTAAGACTTCACATACCCAATCGAATAATCCCTCCAATTTAATTGATAATTTAATGACTTTACTTTCATAGATAACTGTCAAACCACCACCGAATGCAGAGCTGCTACCGTTCAAAGAGAAAATGCGTTTATTCGCTCAACAAATTGGAGAAGATCCACCCAAAGAACGCATTAAAGCTTCTAGTCGTCAAAGAGAATTACAAAATGTAATCTGAATATTTTAAAATTGATTACACTGATGATAATCACTATCACATTTAGTCCGATTAACAATGCTATATTGTGATGCCTACTATTTTATTCTTCTAACTAATTGATGCTACTTGTTTTACTACTATTACTGATGACGATGATGGCATATTGTTAAATTTGATTCTATATTGACGGAAAATCTTGTATAATTTATATAGGCTCTGTGAAAATGTTTTGGTTTCAGCATCTCTTTTTATGGTTTAAATCACTTTTCATATTCCTATTGCCTTCCAATTTTCTGCTAACTTTTTAGTGATGAATAAAAACTGAGTGTAACTATTTATTTGATTGATTCCGTTCAGTTGTATTCACTAGACTTTTTTTTCAGCTTGTGATTATTCCCATACACTTGTAGTAGGCGTAGCTGATCAGAATGGATATAAGTAGTATATGTTGAGAGAGTGGCTGAAATCATAGGGAATTACCAGCAATGGGTAACGACTCCGCTCACAGAAACGCAAGAGACAGTGTGGGCGTATTAAGAGTAAATCAAGATAGAAGCAGCAGGGGAAATGAAGCACAATATTCAAATGACTATCTTGGTGCAAGGTGTACCATAGTTGATGACTACTGTACAATATGTCAATAACAGACATTCCTTCTTTCGTCTCCGCCTTGTCATTTCTACGTACTGAATGTTTGCAACCTCAGTTAATGCAAAGAATGCTTCCATAAAAGGTGTATAATCACCACTGCACTATGCTTTCCATTCCAGATAGTTTCATATCACCTGTTTTTCAAACTGCTGGTCACCAACTTGCCATGATCCCAGTGTAGATAAAGTGTGGAATTAGAAGAGAAGTACTTGTAGACATTTTAACTCCATTCATTCATGATGACTTCATTATATTTATCTTCAGCTGATTACAAGCTGTTAAAAATGAATTGTTAAGGAGCAGAATCTGTTGACACAGTCGGAAAGTGAAAACCAGATATTCAGGTAAATAAAAACTGGAATTCTGAATACAGCATGGATAAAAGGCTTGATAACATCGTATGATGGAGGTTAAAGAAAAGTTGAAGCAATAGGATTGTAAGAATGTGATGCTAAAACAGTTGATGAGACATGCACAGGTTGTAATCAATAAATTTTAGTTTAATCTATCGAACTGTAACGAAAGTTAGCATAATACAAACAAGAAGGGTGTAATGAGGAAATGATAGTTCGGAAGCTTTAACATGATAGCTAGAGATGAACCATTACCTTTTCATCATTACAGAAATCTGAAATAAATGCCTAAAAAGTGGCTACTATCCAAGGACAAGCCTCAGATCACAAGCAGAACACCGGAGTTAGAACATAGGAACTGTCTATAGCAATAATGACTCCTCACATTACAAACCTGAAACCGTGAAATATCCGGGTATTTATCACACTATCAAAATCACTATCCAATCAGTATGCTGAATGGCACTGAGATGCTAACATGCGAAACATATATATAACATATTGGAAATTCATGCTCAGTATCGCATAATAGAAGACGAAGAGAACTGCACCCGGTGCTATAACTACTTAATAGTAATGAGTAGTATGTCATTGCGAGCAATAAAAACAAAGGAAGTCATAAAATAAATAGAAATGAGGTGAATTACAAACAGATTCAACACGATGTTAACTTCAAATTATGTTGCGTACCGATGATTTTCATTGCAAATCGAATATCAGTCTTATGTCATGTTTCCAGTAGATATAATGCAACCATTTAGCTTCGTTCTTCGACTGACAATAGCAATGATATGCACCAAATAAATACGTATAAATGACAGTGAAGAACGTCTGCTCACGTCTAAAAACTTAATTTGAGGTAATTCTATATTAGATTCGTTTATTTGATTTATATCACACAGTGATCTAGTACTATTTACTTGATGACGTTTCGAACATAAATTATTGCTCATAATCATATCAATATTATCACACTACTTTCGACATTTGATTTTTATAGTTACGTCACCTTATATGAGTTGTTGTTATGGGTAGCAAAATCTTCCTTATCTCTGGTATAGGTGTTGCGTCATTCTCATTACATGTGTTGGGTGTTGATTCGATGATCAATTATTATTATCATTATTATTAGTCCCTTGGGTTCCTAATGGAACATAGGGCTTCAGTAGCACGTCTCCAGTGAACTCTGTTCTCTGATATCTTTTGAACCTGGCTCCACGACAGCCCACAAGCTCTCATTTTCTCCTCGCACCATCTCCCCTATGTCACCTCACCTCGGACTTCCAACTCGTCGCTTCCCATGGGGATTCAACCCGAGCAACTGACCTGACGCATGATGCCCCAGTCGGCCTTCTCAGTGTATGCCCAATCCATCTCCACTTCCTTCTGCATATTTTTTCAGCGATAGGTTCTTGGTTGGTTCGTTCCCAGAGCTCCTTGTTGCTTATTCTTTCTGGCCATCTGATCTTCGGTAACGAGTGAGGGTAGGCAGTTGTTGATGAATATTTGTAGTTTGTTGGAAATACCTTTCGTGACGCGCCAAGTCTCTGAACCATACAGAAGCACTGACTTGATGAATTGGTGTTGAAAATCCGGATCTTGTTCCACATGCTGAGTGCAGAAGATCTCCACACTGGTTTCAGGCTAATGAACGCCTCTCTCGCTTTTCCGATTCTGACTTTGACGTCCTCGTCCGTCCCGCCTGTAGTTGAAACAGTGCTTCCTAGATAGGTGACGGAGGTTACTTCCTTTAAGTTTCTCCCGTTGACGGTGATTGGAGTTTGTTGTTGTTGGTGGTGGTGAGGTATCTTCATCACCTCTCTCTTCTCTATATCCACCTGAAGTCCCGTCTTCGCTGCCTCTTCTATCAACTTGTTAGTTTTTGCCTGCAGATCTTCAAGTTTATGTGACATCAGGCACAAGTCATCATTGGCGAAATCCAAGTCTTCTAGGTTCTTTTCCGTGGTCCACCGGCTTATCCCCCTCTTCTCGCTCCTCCCTATTTGCTGCATGATCCATTCCAGTCGACCACAATCAGGAATATCATGGGTGATAGTAGACAGCCTTGTTTCACTCCTGTCATCACTTCAAAAGCATCACTGAGCTTCCAATTGTGAATTACTTGGTGACATGTGGCATCTTCATATAGTTGTTGAATGAGGCGGATAAAGGTTTGCGGTACTCCGTATTAATGAAGCAGTTTCCAAATTACCTCTCGGTCGATGCTGTCAAAGGCCTTCTCAAAGTCGATAAAGTTGATGTAGAGAATCGACTGCCATTCTATACTCTGTTCTATGATGATGCGAAGCGTTGCGTTGCAATTTGGTCCGCACATGATTTGTACATCCTGAAGCCAGCCAGCCTGTTCCGGTCGTAGTTTCGAATCCAGTGCATCCTTTAGCCTCTCCAGGATGATGCGGCTTAATATTTTGCTTGCTCGGGTGGACAGGTGAGTGATTCCTCGCCAGTTCTTGCAAACACTGAGGTCTACCTTCTTTGGGAGTTTGACAAGGTAACCCTTCTTCCAATCGTCATTCTCATTACATGTGTTGGGTGTTGATTCGATGATCAAAGATTCAGTAATCAATCTCTCCACCTAATTATATTGGACTTCAGTCCAGTGGCTGTATTCAATATAATTAGGTGGAGAGAGAGATTGAATATTGAATCTTTGATCATCGAATCAACACCCAACACATGTAATGAGAATGATGCAACACCTATACCAGAGATAAGGAAGATTTTGCTACCCATAACAACAACTCATATAAGGTGACATAACTATAAAAATCAAATGTCGAAAGTAGTGTGATAATATTGATATGATTATGAGCAATAATTTATGTTCGAAACGTCATCAAGTAAATAGTACTAGATCACTGTGTGATATAAATCAAATAAACAAATCTAATATGGAATTAAATTCTACCGCAGTGCCCAAGTTTTACACCTATATTAAATTTGAGGTGCAGATAATGAACGAAAGGCTTTGAAATCAAAGAAAAAGTAGTTCATGTTATCATGATACTTGGAATTTTCCGTCACTAAATAGGGTCAGATTTCTCGACATGCCAGGTATTCATGATGTGACTGATAAAGGAATCAAGTAAACACGTCTCATTCACTAGGCCGCTCGGTATTGAGTTCGAGTCTGGGTGGGAATAATATCACTCACTACAGTGCAGGCATGTCCAACTGATGAAATGTAAAGATTTTTGATTTTTCATGCACACTTTGTTGACCTATAGATGGATTAATCTGTTTTCTGGCCTGCCTAAAAATATCAGAGACTCTGAGGTAATCATTTGAAGTCACCTAGTGATTACACGCTTATTTAATGCATAAAACGTAATAGTTTACTTTGACTGATTATTATTTTTTATCGACAATATGGTACATTTGAATCTATCTACCGGTTTATCTTCTTGATATATTGGAATTGACATCAGCTTAGCCAGAGACAGGGTTTCCTACCAAACGACTCCTCTAGTCCCACACCGCAACTCTCTTTCTGTTATATCTTCTTTAGCAAAGAGAACAAACTGAACTTTATAAATCTGAAATATGTTGCATAAATGACAACGTCTGGAAGAGTCATGTTCTACCTGTCAGTTTTCTTTCACATTTTTTGTTGGATGTGCTCACTATCAGTAAAATACATTATTAAAACGCTCCCTTCGCCATTTCCACCTACATTCTTATATATCCATTTCCATATTCCTAGTAAAAAATGTTCTGACAAGTTTTTATACTTTTAGAAACACCTGCATATTAGTAGACCCAGTGCCTTTTATGACAGAACGAGATCTTCATGTACCCCGTAGCCTGTTCACTCCAGAATCTCACGGTCGTGAATTCGATTCTACATGCAACTGAAACTGAACTTATACTAACAGCTCCCAGATCAGTCTGAAGTATTTTTGTAAAATTTCTTAGTTTACTACTGCGCTTTTCTTGAAAGAAGCTACTTTCAATTTAAGTGTTGATCTTTGTGTACTACGTATGACAAAATACTAACGATGCACTCTTCTCTTCTTGAAAATAATGTTGTTACTTTAAATATACTGTTGTGAAATTGTGAGTAGTTCAACACCATCCATACAAAAAGCAGAGGCAATATTATCTTAATTCGAAGACAAGTCTATCAAGCAGACAGATGTAAGTGAACTGTTTATATCAGTGAAGTCCGTCCATTTAACTTGACTAGACTGGTAAAAACAAAAGTCACTATAAGGATTTGTAAGTAACTCCTGAAACAATTAAAAAGGTAATGACATTTGAGTAAGTTGAATGCAGTGATGTTAGACATTACAAGTTGTGTCAAGAATATTCCTCTAGAATA